AATCATACTACTATACATAAATATTAAGTGATGGGTTATTGTTTATTTTTTGACAAATACTGCAATAATGAATAATCATTAGTGATTTTTAGAACAAATAATACTAAGTTTAAAAAACAAAAAAGTTGAAAAGATGAATAACAATGTAACATCAGATTTGGATTTAATCTGTGCATGGGTCATAAAATTCTATCAAAGGGCATTCAGTGAGTTACCATTTAGTGATAATATAACATGAAACAAATGAACAAACCTTCAGAAATTAGTGCTGGTTTAACCGAAGGTACTATTCAGATCTGGCCCTTTAAGGCTGGCAAAATCGCAGGTTTGACATTGACCAATCAAAATCCTTGTCCCGCCTGCTTCATTATCATGCGGTCAACTAGTGCTACTAGTACTACTAGTGGACTGCCAGTTGACCTTTACAAGTAAACTAGTAAGGACCAAATGTCCACTAGTTACACTTGTAAAACACATTTCGACTTTACTAGTAAACTAATGATGTTCAAAAAGCTTAACTAGTTTATTACTAAGGGCATAAATGTCACTAGTACCACTAGTTGCAGTCTAATTGACCTTACTAGTTAACAAGTAGGGCTCAAGATGTTTACTAGTAGTACTAGTGAAAGAAAAATGCACACTAGTATCACTACTTTGGTCTTCAAGGCCTTACTAGTAAACTAGTGAGGCTTTAAATGCATACTAGTTAACTAGAACGAGTCAAAATGTCCACTAGTTTACCAGTTAGACCATGTGTGACCTTGCTAGTTAACTAGTGAGGCCAAACACAGTTAACTAGTTAATAAGTAATTGCAAAATGTCCACTAGTTGTACTAGTTAACTAGTTAGATAAATTGTCAGTCACAAGTTAACTAGTAGCCAACAGATCAGACTACTAGTTGACATCTGTGTTCAACTAGTTAACTAGTAAAGGGTTTTAACTGTTCAGCATGTAAACTTGTCAAATTATATCATTCAACTAGTTTACTAGTCAAAAGCAAATGTCCACTAGTATGCTGTTTTGTCTGCAACTAGTTTACTAGTGCCACACAAAGTATTCAACTAGTTTACTAGTGAGGCCAAAAAGACACTAGCTAGTTTAACTAGTGGACAAAAAGGCACTTACTAGTTTACTCGTAAACTGTATAGGGCTTTACTAGTAAACTAGTAAGGTTAAAACCGCCCTCAGTAGTGTGACTAGTTGACATTTTAGCTACTACATGTTAACTAGTAAACGTTTCCGAGCCTCACTAGTTAACTAGTAGGTTTAAAAATATTCCAACTAGTGTTACTAGTTGACACATTTTATCTTACTAGTGACCTAGAAAGGTAAAATGCATCTTCACAAGTGTTACTAGTTACCATTATGAGATTAACTAGTTAACTAGTTAGCATTTGTGTCTAACTAGTTAACTAGTAAAATGAAAACAGATATCGACTAGTAAGATAGTTCTAATCCTGCAATCCAACTAGTTGACTAGTGTGCAATATGTAAATGCAGTGGGTGGGATTATAACCAAATCCTGGGTCCTGATTTGATGTTATTTTTGTTCTTGATTTTTAGAGCCTATCATAAGCCTCAATCCACACTTATCCCCCACCTCCTCGTTACCATTTTGTGCAACAAGTGTTACTAGTGACATTTTAGATCTAGCTAGTTTACTAGTAAAATATTTAAGTCTCACTAGTTCACTAGTACGACTTGTAAAGATGATACTAGTGCAACTAGTGGACATTTGTTCTCTTACTAGTTAACTAGTGAACATTTAGAGCCGCACTAGTTAACTAGTAAGACTAATAAAACCATCTCTAGTACAACTAGTGGACCTTTCTGCTCTTACTAGTTAACTTGTAAAAACTTTTTATCCTAACTAGTTAGCTAGTATGGTCCATATATATGCCTTTCTAGCTTACTAGTGGACATTTTGGCTCTTACTAGTTAACTAGTAAACATGTTTAGGCGCACTAGTTAACTAGTAGACACAATTTTTTGTACTAGTTAACTAGTAGATATTTTGCACCTTACTAGTTAACATGTAGGACTTTTTGCCTTCTACTAGTTTACTAGTAAGTCTTTCAACGTTCTACTAGTAAACTAGTGCGGCCAAAGACTTGACTAGTACAGGAAACTGAGCTTTGATATCAAGGATATCTATTAAATCTTCAATCGGCTTTCAGGAGCGCACCGGAGGGGGTGAGCTGGGGGAGAGACGCACAACCTGAGAAAAAGGAAATCCCAGTTTAAAATAAAATGTTGGTGAAAAGAGGGAAATAGGACGACATAAATGTCAATGTTGAAATTCTTTTCAATACAGAGGCTGTTTGAATGTTCAGTTTTCTTTGACTATAAAAAGGCAACAATAGCCTGTAGTTTAATCCTGGTGTTTCTCTTCGTTAACGATTATTGAAGTGAAATCAAAAATAAATGCATGACATTTAAAACATATTAACGTGTGGGGAAAAACGTGATCTTTATGTCTTCTTTTATTGTGCCTATGTCTCCTCCTAACTAACATAACAGCAGCATGTTGTGTGTAACACTGGTCTCCTGCATTAACACCTTCCTTTCAAAGGTGTTAAATACAGACACAGTCACAATCACAGCAATGTTTGTCAGGTTTTGTCAATTTTTAGAACAATTTCTCTATGAGTGTCATTAAATTTACAATATGATCAACTTGTGACTGTTGAATTGGTGTGTGTGGAAGACAATGCAGAATATTTATCAGTTTAAGCAGCATGATGCTCGGTTAATATTACATTACACCACCGCCGGTTGTTGATGTTTGCGTTCACGTTTCGGTCAGTCTCTTAAATCAGTAACAGTTATATTAAATCAGATCTTACCTTTAGTTTTATCTGGATACATAGAGAAATAATCTACCCTCGTATATAGTACTATGAATTTCAGCCTGCACGGTGAAAGTAAAACCTGTTACTCTCGGTATAGCCCACTTATCACTCAGATTGTAAACACGTACACATTAGTAATGATGCAGGCCAGATTACAATTATGTGACTTTGTTTTTACCCTCGATACTTTTTTGAGACCTTACCAGATGTTTTTATTTTTGCTGTAAAATAACTGTACAGTCAATGAACCACATCTATGAGCGGATTTTATATCACGATTCTTGGTTTTAAATACAATCACAATAACGACATAACAATATCAAGAAACATAGCATGTCAGTTGTTAGGTTTGCTCATTTAATAAAATAAAATAAAAAGATAAATCATGCCGGATAAGTAACCTGTCTTTACAACATTTCAGCTAACCTTAGACTGCTTATGTGATAGCTAGACTTTAACCAATGACACATAAATCACTTTTTTACTTACCGAAAAATCTGCAAAGATCCCTTATCTCCCACAGGTCGGTTAGAACAGTTTACTGCAGAACAACTCATTTTGCCAGCTCAAAAAAGATGAAAAAACTGAACGGAAAAATTCAATGGCGTCTCGGCTTTCCTTCACTACGTAACTTTTGTTATTCACAAAGAGAGCTACGCAAGATCGGCGGCTGTCAATCATCGTCAAATATGACGTAAAATCCCGTTTTTCAACCTCAAATAACTTATTTAAAACAAACTTCACAGAGAAATGAGCACTTGAACACAATGTAGGGTGATAATAACTAATGATCACAGCAGAGTTTATGTTTGGAAAAAAATTATGTGACGAGTATTTTAGCTTTACAGTTTGACCCACATCCCATCTGTTATCATTGAGGAGGCGGGGTTTATGACCTATACTGCAGCCAGTCAGCAGGGGGAGCTCTAAAAATAAAAGCTTCACTAGACTGGGGACCTTGTCCCGTCCATTATTTTTACAGTCTATGCTTTAAACTAGATATTTAATGTTTGGCATTGCATTTATTTATTGAATTAATTGATGGGGTAAAACAATCTTTAACATGCTTAATGTCTCCCTAACCTACGATCCCATTTAAGTGCAAATATATTATACAATCATATAAATATAAAATAAATTGTCTATACCTGCTTTGTAAACATGTTTTAATGTTTGACATTTTAATTGGTTTTCTTACATTTTGTTCCTGTACTCCACACTGACTCAGTCCTCTAATTGATCCTGTTAAAAAGTTCGATCACATCACAAAGTGGAGGTTTGATTTGGAGTAGAATAACTGATCTATTTCTGTATCCAATTAAAAACCTGATACCCCCAGAAGTGATCAAAGTGATCCAGATTTTGTAATCCCTTGTTTTGCTATCCCAGATAAAAGTGATGTTGTAAATTTTGTCCTGGTTTTTACAAAGGCTTTTCAGATTGGATTGTTCTGATCCAGATACCACAAGATCAGGATTACAGAATCTAGATTTGCAGTCTTTGAATAGGCCAGCATCTGTTACATCAAAGCGAAGCAATGTACATCAGAGAGTAAGTACAACACTAATCCAGTCATACACCGCCACAAGCAATGCAGGGTTAGGTGTCTTGCCCAAGGACACATTGGACATGTTACTCAACTGGGGATTGAGCCACAGCCACCCCCTAATATATTTAATTAACACGGTATGTAAAGTTACAGAGATGGACTTATTTTTTTAACATATTCAGTTATTTTAGATCATGTACTTCCTGCTATGTATTATTTGTTTACCTGCCCAGGTACAACAGATTAAAACAGAATTTAAATGTAATCGTGCACTGCCCCTGTAAAAATAAACAATAAAGAAATAATACAAATACATTAAATGTCTCATTGGGATTAAAAAAAAGTCAAAGAAAATACTTTTGTTGTCAGCAGATGAGACTGACTTCTCTTCAACAGAGGGAAACAAAGCTTCATATCCTCCTCTTAGAAGAGAGTGAACCAAGGATCCCATCTCTGCTTTTGAACACCCAAGTTTGAAGGAAGTCCTGGCACGAGCGGACAGTGAAGGCGGCACGGTGTCAAGTGTAACCTGAGTGTAACGTGTAACGTGCCGGTCACGTGCCGGTCACGTGCCGGCCAATAGAAAGCTCCAGGTGTGGCCACGCGCTACACAGTAGCGTCACAGTGCGCGCGAAGACAACAACGGTAGAGACGATGGAGAGCAAGCAGAGTCAGGTAACTGTTTGTTCTTGTGTTTTCTGTGTCGCTTCTGTAAACATGATGGTTTGTTTACTAAACCAGCCGATGTAAAGAGTTACAGAGTCAGTGTGGCGGCGGCTCGAGCTCCGTCTGCTTTGATGCTAGTTTGTATCGCGCGCTGTTTACAAACTGGCTACATTTAGTCAAATCTTCCTGGAGGACCAGAGTCTCTGTCTTTCGCCTTTTCTCCTCCTGGGCCTGCTGTGACTGTGTCTGACTCGGTTCAGTCCCACCTGCTCGTTAGGAGAACTCACCTGCAGTGTTTGTCTTAAACACACACCTGTGTGAGGCAGCTGTGTGTCCGCTTATCACTGTGTGTCCATATTTTCTAACACATCTACAGCTAACATGTCTAGTTAACAACCACAATGTGTACTTCACAGACGATGATGACACAGTCTGCCTCAGTACAGGTGTGAAGGATTTGAAAAGGCCTTCACTAAAGGTGACTCTATTGTCCATGATGCTTGGATACTTTTCAATCCCAGGTGTTTAAAATGAAACAATCACAGTTACTTGATGAGCGATAGGTAGGTAGGTAGATAGATAGATAAAGACGCTACACCTTGAGACAGGTGAGGAGTTCATCAAATAATTATTATTACAAGCCAACTGCTGCACGTCTAAATAGTTCAAATACACATTCACACATTGCCCCCCCCCCCCCCCCCCTCTTTCTCTCTCATTACAGCTTTATGTTAAATGAAGCTTCAGATCTGATGTTTTTAAAATATATCATCGTCTTTAAAATATTGCATTGATGTGAGATAACACCTGGTTTTAAAAAGTATCATAGTGATTAAAACAATGTTGATCCCTAGGTCCTTTTCTTAGGTTCATTCTCGAAAAATGCATACCCAGACTTAACGGAGTATATCTCTGCAGCCACAAACATCCTGACATTACCAGTGCAAAGTGTGAGCTAAATAAAGTGAAGTAGAGCAGAATTACAGAGGTTTTAGTACAGGCATGTTCAAGCGGAATTTATATATTTTTTTATATATTTATATTTCCACAGGAAATTTTGCAGTTCCGCTGTCAGATGTTAGCAATTCCAGTATCTCTGGTACAGAATAATACTTTTTCCTTCCTCTCTGGCCGGATATTGTTGTGCGCTATGCGTTCTGGAGTGCGATAATCTGCCTGTGAGCCGATACACAAAATGTTATCTCTGCATCCTATTGGTTGATTCAGAAGCCCAGCCCCCCTATGGAAAGCTCCAGCACTGTAGAAGCGAATGTAACTGAGTAAATAAATGTCATTACAACTATTGAACCACTAGATGGAGACAAAGACCGCCTTTTCCAAGCGCGCGCGCATGTAGCTATATGTGCAGCAATTCCTCCCTTATGCTGTGACAAATCGAGGTAGCGAGGCCTGAATAGTCTCAAATTTACCTGTACTGTACTATCAATTACATGTGGATTTATTGGACCAGGAAAACGTTTGATTGCAAAAACAACAAAGGTAAGACAGAAATTTTGGTTGTAACCGGAAAAAGTGAATTTTGCTTTTTCTGTTTTTTTGGTGTTTACTCAGGGAGATTTGGTTTCTGAGTGAAAACAAGATACTGTTAGAATCTATGGAGTCTCAGCTCTCATTCAAGTGGTCATTTGTGCATCTGGCATGTAATGTAAGATAGTTAGGTTGCTGTGTTTTAGACAATAACTGTGTTTAGACGAAAAATGCTTTTTGACATTTCTTCAGGCTGTTGTTTGGGGTTTGAGTTGTGTTTTGTTTTGGTGGAATTGTTCTTGCTTGCTAGTTAGCTGAGCTTTTAAGGATTACAATGGTGTGTCATATGGCCCTGAGCATGTATGTTTACATGCCATCTGATTTGAACTCTTCTGTGGAGGCGGAGCTGCCGCCTGAGAAGGGGGCTATAGTGATCAACAGGTTCTTAGTATAAGTCTTCATCTGTTTAAGTCAAAGTTGCTGACTCTCGTTCAGAATCAATCAATCAATCGATCAATATTTCTATAGCAGGTGCTCCTTACTCATGGTTAAACAATCATTAGCGGAGCATTTAGCAACATTTAGGACTTACAGTGCCAAGACAAAACGTCCCTTTTAGAGGCAGAAATGTAGCTTCACTTCAGAGTTAAAGGAGAACTCCTGGGTTCCTAACAGAGGTTCTAGATGCCTGATGTGTTGAAATTCTTGATGAGGAATAACCCCTTGAGACGTGTCATCTCATTTTCCAGGGGGTCCTAGAATATAGAAATGTACAATTAACAGACAAAAGTAGACGGGACGTTTAACAGCACAAGACAAGAAAGGGAGCGGCTGTGGCTCTGTGATGTAAAAGTGCTTTAAGTTGTCAGAAGACTAGAAAAGTGCTAAACAAGTTTAAGTCCATTTAACAACAAAAAAACACACAAAAACAGTTTATATTAAATGATGATAGGGAGAACATCACCCGGGGAATCTACTCAAAGCAGAGACATAAGATGGAGTGGATTGTCCTCTCACAGGTCGTCAGCGAAGACAGTGAGACATAAACACAAACTTAATAATCATATTTAGGTGATGCAGCAGTGTTATCATGGACAGTTGCAAACGGTTCTGAGATAAGAAGACGAGGCTTTTTTGAACAGTTAAACTGACTGGATATTAACAGGTAAACTATTCCAATCTGAGGGAGCTTTAAACATGACGGCTACTGGAAGTGAAACAAAGAGCAGGGAGGAGAAAAGTACAACGAGCTGTTTTAGATCAGGAGGGAAATGAATGTTTTTGAATATGAACTGTAGCCAATAGCGTTGTCTTCTGATTGAGGGAGCAGGTGAGATGAGCTCTAAATACATGTTACAGTGATGAGTAGTGAAGGGACAACCAAGAATCAATGTACTAAATGTACAATGTACAATGTACTAAATGTACTACTATTGTAAACTACACTGAGAAGACAGAGACCTGATATACAACATAAGCACAGTCCATTATCGGTAAAACTTTTATCCGTCCAGTAAGTGCGAAACAGTTTGGGGAACGGTACAGAACGTCAATGCCAAAGTAAATTTTCTTACAAAACAATCAACATGTTGCTTAAATGTCATAACTTTAGAAAATCATGTTCGTCATTCAGGCAGGTTTCTCTTTGCTCCGACAGTTTTTAGAGAGAAACAAATCCAAAGGAGAACTGTTGATTTACTGGAACATTTTCCTATGAGGTCGATGTTTCTATTTATTTTTTTTAATAAACTACAGTTTTGATTAATTTAAATAGTCAATAGTCACTAGCCCCCTCCTCCATAATCCCCCCCCCCCCATCTTCATCATAAAGAGTTCATCTTCCCTTCCTCTTTTAATCAAAATGTTTCCCATGAATTGTTCCCTCTCCTCAGGTGCTGAACTTGGAGCGTGTCCAGGAGCTGGAAACATGGCTGAAGACGACCAACACCAAGCTGACTCAAGTTAACGGCCAGAGGAAGTACGGAGGACCTCCTGAAGGTGAGAGAGGACACCACAGAGCAGGGAACCAGGAAAGATACAGGGACAATTATATTAGAGACGCATGTCTCCCTCATGTCTCCCTCGTGTCTCCCTCATGTCTGATGTCTCCCTGGTGTCTCCCTCATGTCTCATGTCTCCCTCATGTCTCCTCTCTCAGTGTGGGATGGCCCCATGCCAGGAACTCGCTGTGAGGTCTTCATCAGCCAGATCCCGCGGGACGCCTACGAGGATCTGTTGATCCCGCTGTTCACCTCTGTGGGGCCCCTCTGGGAGTTCCGGCTCATGATGAACTTCAGCGGTCAGAATCGCGGCTTTGCTTACGCCAAATACGGCTCGCCGGCTCTAGCCACCGACGCCATCCGCTTGCTGAACGGCCACATGCTGGAGCCCGGCTTCCGTCTCAGTGTCCGGCGCAGCACAGAGAAAAGACACCTCTGTGTGGGAGAGCTGCCGGCCTCCACCAGGCAAGAGGACCTGCTGCAGGTACAAACCGCTCTGTGACGATATATACTATTTTTATTTACAGCTCGGGGAGAAGAAAGAACTGACACGTCCACGGTTCAATACTGCTATAAACATATCAAGTGTGATAAATAACTATTTAATAGAGCATACTGACTATTTGTCAGGATGGGATATGCCGTGCCAGGGCCAAGGAAGTGTACCGTGTCTGAGCTAGGGTTTAATCCCGGGGGATGGGATTCCCTGGAAATTTGATTTAAAAAAAAAATAATTAATACACACCTCTATAGAGTGCCACAGGAATGAGTCTTAAAACCCAGAAGTAAGTATTGAATGTGTTTGTGGTTAGACTCCTGAAATAAGGTCTGTGGTTAACACAAGCTGAAGAGATGTTGGTGTTTTGTTAGACCACATAAACTACGTTAGGTAATACCCTCACTTCACGTCTTTAAAAAGGCGGTTGCTAACAAGTGGCTAAATGTGACTACAGTGGTTGTCGGGGACATTAAACGTCATCACGCCGGACACAGAGGGCGGGAACTCTCTCACTAGTCGGAGATGTCTCCTGTAGGTTTAATCTTTAGGTTAAGGTGAATATTATGTTAGTAAACTATTTCTTAAACTACGTGGATTAGCTTCGTCTGAAGCACAACGCTAGTGACGTCACAATCTTGTAGCATAACATTAGCTTTTTACTTCTGTCGGCTGCATTAACTCTTCAAACATCATAAAAATGGTGTTCATCTGTGAAACTTATCCTGCTGAACAAAACGCCTACGCTTCAGAAACGTGCGTTTGCCACAGAGCTTATTTTCCAAAATCCAATAAAAAAAATTAAAAAAAAATCCCCATAGGCGAATTCTAGTTAGACTCCATGGTGATGATACTTCTGGGTTGGCCTACAAAAATACGTCTTATGGTTTGTTCTCCATTGTAGTGAGAGGGAGAGAGAGAGAGAGGGAGAGAGAGAGAGAGAGAGACATCTGCAGTGTATGTACAGTTTGAGCTGTGTGTAGTAAACGACCCAACACCTCATGAAACTTGCTGCACCCCAGTTAAACTGACGGGGGTTAGACCTGAAGTTGAGGGCTACAACTTCGGCCCTGGAGCAGACCAATAAGTCTCCCTTGTGTTGCTTAATGCTTAGAGCTTTTCAGAAGAGAAGTCACAGACAATCCATGTGGCATTTCATAATTAGTAAGTGTGCTGCGTGTCACGCACGCAGCACACTTGATCACGCAGCACACTTGATCACGCAGCACACTTGATCATTGCAAACTGATAGCCTGTGTTGATGGACATAAACTGTGTTCTTTTGCCATAATAATGATTAAAAAAATAATATACAAAAATGTATTCCCGGGAAATTGGTCGTCTTTTCCTGGGATCTGATCCATCTCATTTTGGGGAAAAATATTAAACCCTAGTCTGAGCACAGTACGGTACACTGGTCTAACAAACTGGACTTAGGGGTCAAACGTGCTTGAGCACGCTACGGATTGCCAAGTGTGAGTGCGCCCTAAAAGAACACAACAAAACTTTGTTTGCAGGAATCGTGCACAGCAAATATAAAAATATATCCATAGATATGAACACATAGAAAGAGTTGTGCTACAGTAAATGTTTGCGACATGTTCCCTCCTGAATCAAAATAAATCCCAAAAAGTTTTTCACCACTAGTTTGGCATTAATGAATCTGAAGGCAGCTGAAGGTTAGCTTGAGCTGCAGCTACTGTGCATGCTGTTGGACTAATCTATGTACGTTTGTGATCATTAGGGGGAGATAGCGAGGTGGACTAAGTCGTCATCATCACCATGGTGTTAAACTTTCACACACTGACACGACACGATTCAGACTCAGTCTTTTTTTTATAGAAGAGACACGGACAAACGTTTTCTTTGAGGACAACATTTAACTGTCCCAAAAACAGCAGGCTGTTGATGACGTCAACATCGGGTTTTTGGTGACCTTTTATAACCTTTGGTGTGTGAAAGTTTGTTTTTAGAGACCACTTCTCTGAAATCTCTGAAAAAGAATCTCTTAAATAATTCTGCAACATGTAAGGCTGGTGTGCTATAGGACACGGTGTCTTTTCTTTATTCAATGTGTTTCCACACAGCTGAAGTCTTTGACATTTTGTCTTCCCTTTAACGGCCAAGGTGAACTGAAGTGTGACGTTCAATGACCGCTGTGAGGTTAAGAATATCAGGTACCCCCCCCAAAATAAAACAATGAATATTTGAATCCCGAAATTATTATTATTATTATTATTATTATTAATAGTAATATTATTATTATTATTATTATTATTATTATTATTATTTTTACAGCGAAAGTGAATGTCTTTGTGAATTGTGTTTGTTCTCAGGTTCTGCGTCTTATGGCGGACGGCGTGGAGCGAGTGTCTCTGAAGGCCGGCCCCGGGATAGACGGGGTGTCAGCTATCGTGGCCTTCTCATCACACCACGCTGCGTCCATGGCCAAGAAGGTGCTGGTGGAAGGTAGACACACTGAGTGATGCTTTGTGACCATGTCCTTCATGGTTTCTGCCCTCGCTCAGCTCTTAGTAGAGTATGTTAACTTAGAATCACATAAATGAGGTCTTCTTTAACCTCGTCAGCTCAAAGTGCTTTTACGGCTCTGACACACCGAGGAGATCGTCGACCGTTGGTGAGCGGTCGTCGCCCTAGTTTTTGGGGTGTGTTCGACTCCGTCGCTACCCGTCGGCCTTTTTTTGGTCGATTCCACATTTTGAATTACCGTCGGCAGTCGGTGAGATGAATCTCTCTGATTGGCTGTTCAGAGGTTTCATTTCTCTCCAGCTCTCCCCTCAGGTTCTGTAAAGCCCCTTGAGCATGCCGCTGTAGTATCCATGCTTTCACCCATGAGTGTGGTTTCTCCTTATTTGTCTCCTCAGCCTCTTCTTTTCTTTTTCCACTAAAAGATCAAGAACTGACAACACCAGATGCAAGTGAGGCAGCGCCCCCGGCGGCCTTCATCGCTAATGGTTCTTTGCCGTCTGCTTAGTGTGTCAGCAGGTCACACCTACACATTCACACTGTGATGGTAGAGGCTGCTGTGTAAAGAGTCCATCAGTATTAACCAAGGGGCAACCTCCGGTCTCGAAAAATGAAGCCTATGCGGAAGTACAAAAAACTGCAGTTCCTCGAGGTTCCGCTTGAGGCTGGTTGCAGAAGTGCCGGAAGTGCCATAAGCCCACAGCCAAAAAAGCCCGTTTTTACCACAGGAATCAACATGTTTACAGCCTGGTTCAAAAAACAAGATATATCTGATAAGTTGACGGCCCCTTCTCCTCACACTGTAGGGGGGTGAATTTTTTTAAAACTCATCGGATTTTATTCTATTAAGGAAAACGGCTATGCCCATATTTGGTTGTGTCAGATTTGATTGACAGCTCTGCGCGCTGCATCTGTCAGGTCAGCAGGTCAGGAGGCTAACAGCTTGATCCGTTTGATTTCTCCTCTTTTTTACTTCGTTTGGAGAGTTTGTTTAACACGTATCTGACAACATACATGGCTTGCTGTGCGGTTAACAGACCATCCAACAAGTTGATGCTTCAGTTTTTTTCGGTAAGTGATATAGTAGTGTTATATTTACTGTATACTTGTGTGTCTGTATTTATATTTACGGACCTAGCTTGTTTAGCATTAGCTTGTAAACCAGTCAGCTAACTGTGTAGCTCATTATTAACGGTCAATGGTTTAGAAATGTTTGTTGTTAAGATGTTGAAAATAATGAGTTTGTGTGATGTTTGAAGCTAAAGGTTCACCTCGGTGGTTAACCACAGACTGTAAATATGGTTATCTGACGTTATGATGAATGTTATACTCCACGTAAATGTGGACATTAAAAAACAAACTTTGTGTAGTAATTATCCGTCAGTAACATAAACTGAACTCAACTGAACCTAATTTGCTGTGTAGATTATAGAGGATGACATTAAAGTTACATGGTTGATGTAATGTCTTAAGATTTGAGCAAACTGTTAAATTAAAAAACTTCACTTTGTAAGAGCATCTGTAACCATTAAGAACTATATTAATAACCATATTAATTTTTACTGAACTCGTACACAGAATATAGCTGTAGAAATATAAAATATAAATAATATATGGAATGAAAATAAGATATAAAGCACATAGATATAAAGTATAAGAAATAGTTTGAAGAATACAGCCATGTACTGAGCTCATGTTAATAATAAATGAGTTACTGTATGTTCTGTACTAAAGCACAGAGAGTTGGGACCTGTTAATGATTTAAATAATTCAGGTTATATTTGTTTCATGTTAAGATGAAGTACTATCCACAATAAACTGCTTAATTTTTCCTCACAAAATCTGAGACAATTTGATGTGGAATATCATTGTGAGTGAGAGAGCTGAAAACAGCATGATTACAATAATGTTTATCTTCTTAACTTTGAATAGATGTTGATTACCTGAATACTGTACCTTTGTTGTCTGGGTAGTACACTGTTGAATTTATAAATGTGCTCTTACACACAGATGAATACAGAAAAATAGATGAGAACAAAAAAAAATGATTTAATGAATAACTGATATTTTCTCTCTTTCTTTGTCATCCTGAAGACCCCTCACTAAAAGTCCATGTTCTCCTGGATCCATGTCACATGCTCGAGCTTCTTCTGAATGACATTTCAACAGTCAAAGTTCTGCTGAGAGAAGATGGCCAGCAGATAAGACGGCAGTACATGAAGGAGCTCCACAGGCTTCAGGAGAAGGAGGAGGGTTTGCACCTTGGAAGACTATTCATGCTGTTCAAATAAAACTAGATCTCCTCCAAACAACTTGCAATCAAACTATTTTCTTCCCATTTTAAAACCCTTTGTCCAGTTTAGATGGGAGAAGTTGATATTGTGTGATATTGATCTGGGAAGACTACATTTCTAAATAACTTTTAACTGTGTTTTTATTCACAAGTTATAGATCTTATTTACTCTCCATGTATCTTGATTTAAGAATGGGGCTGTGTTTAAGGGCAAATTTTTGCAATGACTCTGTTCCATCCCACTTTCAGAAATGAACTACATTAGTATTTATCAAAAGAATAAGAAGTTGTGTAAAAGTAGACTTCCTTCCCTAAGCTATTGAGTTGAGCATTAATGCACATTTTAGTCTTGTCATTTCAAATCTGAAATGTATACTCATAAGTAGACATAAAGGAGTGCATTTATATAGAAATATTTATTTATTCTGAAAAACAACATTCAAAAAAGTCTGTTTTTACTGCAGAGATGAACATGTTTACAGCTTGGTACAAAACAAACAAATAGGTGTGATTAGCTCATGTGTCGTTGGACACACACTGTACGGGGGGTGAATGTTTTGATGACTCATCAGTTTTGATTTGATGAAGGATAAGAGTTATTCACAATAAGGCGTGTAGCTGACCAGCTTGACAGGCGGGCGCGGTGTAACGGTTTGTCAAGAGGTTTAAAACCCGTCTCAGCTCCAGCTCTCAGCCTGTGGGTGTCATCACTCAGGCCATCCGGGGGAGACCTCCCTCACAGCGAGCTGTTGAAGAGAAACAACTGAAGTCCACCCCAGAAGAACCAACAAATGTAGATGTTGTTGAGGCTCAGGTTTCTTCCTCTGTCTCTGCAGCTCTCTGGGCACCTCGACGGACAAGTCACCAATAATCCACACTGTGTCTATAGGAGAAATACAAAGGTGTTCAATTAATGCCTCAGACAAGACAAAATGTACAGTTAACTACATGTGACAGCTCAGGCTGTTTTTTGTTATGAGCCACATCTGCAGGAATAATATTGAGGTAGCTGCAACTCATAATAATAGATGCCAGTCTTAAACACTATTTTTTCTAATACTTAAAGTTTTTGGTGTGAAGCTGACACTGTCCACAGACTCCATGACTTCACAGGGTTCAATAGAAAACAAATGTCTTATAATAAATACTAAATCATTATTTTTCAATTGTCATGTTCACCTCATCGCTGTTGACATCAGTAAATATAAGACACAGACATTCCTCTTTTTGTCAGAACAGTAACATGAACTGTATGCTTTGTAATATTGATTTCTTCTGGATGTCTCATATTTATTTACAGTTTATGGATAAAACTTTGTTAATGTATTTCTCTGCTGACACTGACAAAGTCTAACTGCTCTGACAAATAACTAATAACCATAGTTGTATATTTAAAAAAGTGTAGTTCTAAGACTTTAATTAAATATTTGGGTTGAATATAATTAGTTTTAACTGTGTTGTATAAAAGTTAAATGTTAACTTACTGTTTATAGAGTTTTCTCAGGACGAGCAGGAATAGAGGATGATAGCAGCCTAGCTGTTAGCTATGCTGTCAAGTGGACTGCTAATGTCGAGCTGAATGGGCGGAGTTAAGTCCCGCCGGTCCCGCCTTACTGCTGTTGTTAGCTTGATCCGAAGTTAGGTTGAAACTGCAAATCCAATATGGATGCGGCCGTTGATTGGACTCATTTTCTGCCTATGTCACAGACGGGTCAGGGTTCGTCCAGTAATATTTACAGTCTATGGTATTAACTCAATCTATTAATTTGTGATTCATTGATCTCTGTTGTTTGGTATATCAGATACATGTGTCGATGTTTACATGAAGCAGTTTGATTCTGATCAGGCTCTGGTTATTTGTAATCACAGACACAGAGAGTGACTGTCCTCCACTCTGATCACTGATAGTTTTGAGTGATTTGTTAAAATCTTTTCCTCCAGCTTGAACAACAAAGTATAATCTGTTTGTGGGTCCTCTGAACCAGCAGCTTCTCAACTGTTTGTTTTATTCCCTCTCTGTTGCGTCTGCAGCGTTCAAGAAGCAGTTTTCTCTGACTGTCTCAATCAAGTGGCAATCGACTGTGAAGGCGAGCGAAGGCGAGCCTCTTCCGCCATCGAAACCTTCAAAGTTCGTCCTGCCGTCGCCCCTGAAGCCGCCACGCCACATCCTGAACTCTCCTCGCCCCTCTGCCCTGCCCCCTCGTCTGGCTCGCCCTCCATCCATCCCTCCAGGTTTCTGCAGAGCTGTGGGACGACCCACTGCCCCCCAGCACCATCACCCTTCCCGCTCCACCCCCGTCCAGGGTCCTCAGGGGCCCCCAGCCCCCTCTGTGTCCCCCGTGGTGCAACTGTGTAAGGTGTGTCCCATGGAACTCCTGTGTAAGGTGTGTGAGGCGAGCGGCGTGGGCCAGCCGCTCTTTGAGATGTACTTCAGCCACACTGGGCCTGATGGATTCCTTTACTTCACCTACAAGGTGAGCATCCCCGGCATCCCCACGGCCTTCAAAGGCCTGGTCATGATCTTGCCGGGACCCTCTGAATCCACCATGTTGGAGGAGGCTCGTCGTGTTGCAGCCCAGCAGGTTCTGCAGAGTGTGTGCAACAAACAGGTTGCTCACTGATTGGCTGATCCCACACAGCACTGTTTGTTGCTCTGTTTCTTCAATGTTATTATATGAATGTCGTTTGTATATTTCTGCATGTTTTTATTAGGCTGAAGTAGATATTTGTTTTGGTTTTCTATGCTTTGTGTTATGCATGTTTTTTAATGTTTGTTACTGTTACGTGTGTTCCTTGTTTTAACTAAAAAAGATTTGACACAAATGTGAAATGTGTTTTTTATTTACGTATGAAAGGAAGGATGAGTTTTTAAAAAGACAACAAACAACCACTTTAAAATGTTCGGTCTGCCAGCAGCTAGTTAGAGCTCAAATCATTTTGTATCATGCAGCTGAATGAAAAATGTTTGTAAACGTTCACATGGTTGGCTGGTTTCAGATCATGTGACTCCAGGTAAATAAGGTAGTGGTTGGTAACCCTCCCAGCATGCACTGTGGGAGTGATGGTCAAGAGGTCCTGGATGTTACAGCTGTTAGTTTACTCCAGAATGTTTCCACATGTTAACACTTTGAAGGATTAGATACTCAGAGTGAGTGTGGTAAGATTACTTTTGAAGTAAAACTCTGATAAATAAATAATGAAACCAACAAAAGAACCCGAAGCAGACTGAAAGGCTTCACACCAGCAGAGGGCAGTGTGTCAGACTCTTTACAGGATGTGATTCAGAAACCGCCTCAGAGGCCGGCCGTCAGTACGTCTTTGTACAAACACATTGCATCTGTAACTGTAATAGTAGTGTTCCAGAGTGAGAATCCACATTGCAGAAGCAGGTGAGACACTGTGCTAAACAAGGGGAGCCACACACACACATAGGGCTGGGTATCGTTAAAAAATGTCAATACCAACACCGATAACGATACCTTGACTTGGATAACTATTCCTAAACGATACTTTTTTCAATACCAATTTTATAAAAATCCATTTTAACAAAACAAATTACATTACACATTATGATACAAATCTTTGGTTTTGGCATTTTAAAACATTCAAAGCAGTTTCATAACATGAGAATATAAACCATTTTACCACACTGTGCTTTAACTAAAGTTGTCTGTTTTGATCTCTTGACATGTTTCTAAACTTCACGATGCACACTGTAGTCAAGCCTCTCAAAACACAACAACACACACGTGTGCCCCGTTTGGATAAGCAGCCAATCACCAGCATTATTAAATCTTGCAAGCATGCTACATGCTTATTGGTTCACTGACGCTGATGCTATTGGCTGCGCTCCTTTTCAGACATCCGGGGCACAATCTGGCGAGAGGTGATGACAAGCAGCGAAGGAGGATGATATAGTTTAAACAAGACGAAGTTTAAATGATATGCAAACCATCAAACTCCATAGGTATCGAAATTTGGTATCGAATGACAAGCCATTTTTCGATACTCTGCCGTATCGAAGCAATTCTATCCGTGCTAAAAAAGTATTGAATTTGATACCCAGCATTTAATAATGCTGGTGATTGGCTGCTTAACCACACGGGGCACACGTGTGTGTTGTTGTGCTGCGCACGCACACACACACACACACACACACACACACACACACACACACACACACACACACAAAAAGCTTTAATGTCAGTTTACAACGAGTCTCTAGACCAATAAAAAGCTCTTGTGAGGAACAGTGTGTCACTTTGTGTCGATCTTGGTGCCCCCCTGTGGACAAAGTGGAACATGCTGGTTTATGTTTACTGTTATAGAGGAACAGAAAAATCAATAAAGGGACTGTTTTAAATTCAATCCAGTCTGGTTAGTTGTTGATATACACTACAGCTAAGCTGGTCAGCCAGGTCACTCCTGGGTGAAACACCTCAGTACAAGAACGTTCTCCTTTAACAATACTTGATAATAAAACTATTTTATGAAATCAAAAACAAGAACCAGTGGTTCGCAACTGGTGGGTCAGGACCCAAAAGTGGCCGTTTTCAGTGGGTCCTGAATGTGTGTCTGGAAGAAACATGCTGTCAAAAAGACAGAGGTGCTTTTTTTCTTTACCAGTTTTTCATTCAGTTTCTTTGGATGGCTGTGGTTCTGGTGGTAGAGTTGTCACCTCTCAACCATAAGGTTGAGGGTTCGATCCCCAGCAGAGCAACATGTCCGATTCATACACTTAACCCCGAATTGCTCCCGCTGCTTCGGTGGTGGTGTATGAATGGGATTATTTACTTCTGATGATACTACATAGTGATCTCTACCATCAGTGTGTGACATGTGGTGTGAAAGACCTTTGAGTAGTCAGAAGACTAGAAAAGTGCTTTATAAGCTCAAGTCTATTTACCATTCTACCCGTATGAGGTCCAAACGGCACAATTTTAAGTTAAATTAAACTGATACAAGAAATTTGGATCGCGATTTCTCATGGTGGGTCCCGAGGCTCGACCAGTTTAGAACCACTGCAGAAGCAGACTCATGATGAACAGCTGTGTGCAGAGACTTTGATGGGGTTGTGAGGGAATGGCTGTAAAGAAACAAGGAGGATTGATTATGTTCATTTTAGAGGTTGAAGTTGAGCAGCTCTCATGATGCATTCAGGTGCTGCTCGGATGATCCTGGTTTCCTAGTCGGGAAGTGGTTCTTCTGACTTCAGTGTGTTCAACATTTTTTAAAGTTAACTTAAATATTTACAATATTGACAACAGACACGAGGCTGATATTAACAGTTGATGCATGCACAGAACCTTGTAACAGTCCACACATGTTCTTCTGTTTCCAGACAAATGATGGATATTTTTATTTCAGATTCGTGAGCGTACAGACACAGACAGTTTCTGTTTCTTTGAAATTAACCCGATGAAGACAAACTGATCTCCTTGTTCACTTATTACACTTTCATAGTTGGGTTAATGTTAAAGATTGGTGAAGAGAGCAACGTGAAATCATTTTTACACATGAAGTAAAGTGGGACTTCTCAAAAAACGGTATTTCACGCTGAGCTGGTTCTTTTTGATTTGCTGATGGTTTTCAGGCTTCTCTTTGAATAAACTAGTCAAACTGTAAACAAAAAACGTTTTTATGAAGCTAATCCTTTAATCTGAAGATGAACTACAGGAGATCTGAGTCGACTGTAACTACAGAGACCATTCATGACTCTCCAGTCAACCACCTGACTGAGAACATCAATAATATCTTACATTCAAATAGTATCTATTTATCCAGATATCTCTGTACAGGCTGTTAGAGAGCTCTTTAACCCTGAACCAGGATTTGTTTCCTGACCGAGCGGGGACACAGCAGGTCAGGGTGAAGAGGTTTCAGACAACCACAGAGCTGTGTCTCCCAAACATCTTTCAGGATAAAATACCGTTTATAAAGAAGTCCATACAGGCCAAACATCTGTCTATCTTCCTGTTCACTGCTCCGTGTTTCTTTAAGAAGCACATCCTGTTGAACTCACGTCCTCTCAGCATCAGTGTTCTTGTATCAGCCTTCATGAACGCACCAAACGGTCTGTGTGGCCGCTTCAAGAACAACAGGGATGGAGTGTTGTCAGGGCTGCACGATGTCCAACATGCTCGAGGACCAGACGAGACCGTGTTCCTGGTCAGGAGTCTGCAGAGTGTGTGTGTGTGTGTGTGTATATGTATGTATGTATGTATGTATGTATGTATGTATGTATGTATGTATGTATGTATGTATGTGTGTGTGTGTGTGGTGTGTGTGTGTGTGTGTGTGTGTGTGAAGCAATCGGATGATGTGGCAGAATATGAAGGGGGGGGATAGACTAGGCCTCAGATGTCCTCCTCCTGATCTCAGCTATAAGGTCTGCTCTGGAAATATCAACCTGTGGTGGGAAAGAAAAACAAACCTTTAGAAGCAGAACATTTGACTTGAAGCAGAAAACAAACTTCCTCATGGGTCAATATAATCACATCACCTGTTTACTTTTATCTATAGATCATTTCGATGATTTCATTTGTGCACACTTGATTCTTCCTCTGGGACTTTTCCTCCCTTGAAGATCTTTAAAGCTAGAATGGCATGCGATTAGACGCCTCTGAGTTTTTGTATTCATCAGTGTCTCCATTAGATGGACAGGGGTTTGTTTGTAATTAAGTGTTAAAAACAAAACAGAGGAAGTAGACCTTGGTGTGTGTGTGTGTCTGGATCGTACCTCGTCTCTGGTTGCCACCACTCGGAGTTTGACCACACCATCCTTTAGCTCCTGTTCTCCCAGTATGGCCACCAGGGGGATCCCAGACTCCTCACAGTGCTGCAGCTGACTCAGCAGTTTGGGGTTCTTCTTGTACATCACCTCTGCCTGATCATACACACACAGAGGCGCACACACACACGCAGAGACACACACGCAGAGACACGCACACACACACGCACGCAGAGACACACACACGCACGCAGAGACACACACACACGCACGCAGAGACACGCACACACGCACGCAGAGACACGCACGCACGCACACACGCACGCAGAGACACGCACGCACGCACGCACGCACGCACGCACGCACGCACGCACGCACACACACACACACACACACACACTTTAATGTCAGTTTACAACGAGTCTCTAGACCAATAAAAAGCTCTTGTGAGGCACAGTGTGTCACACTGTCAGGCCTCTTTTAGTTCCTTGAAGGTTTCGTCCTCCTGTTAGTGAAGAGTACCACCTAACAGCTTACATGTCAGTTGTTTAACAGCAGACACAAATGATGGGGCTAACATTCACTAGACACAAAGAACTCTGTATCTGAAGGCCGCCGTGGGGACTAAAAGTTAATGTAAAAAAGGAGCAGCCTGTAGTCTAACACATGAGCACACACACACACACCTTAATGCCAGCGTTCCAGAGCTCAGAGACCAGTTTGAGTTTCTCCTCCATCAGGTTCTTCTGAGCAGACGCCACCATGACCTGAACCTCTGTGGTGCGAACCTTCTCTGCTGAGGCCTGCAGACAGAACAGTTAGAGTCCAGACTTCTCACACACTCATAATTTTATCATCTTATTCAAAACATCACCTCGGCCTTCTGCTCCATGATGGAGAAGACCCTCTCGATGCCGATGCTGACGCCCACACACGGCACTTTCCTTCCTTTGGGGTCAAACATGCCCACCAGGCCATCGTACCGCCCTCCGCCTGCCACGCTGCCCACACTGACACTCTCCTCTCCGGGGGCCCCGTTTTGGGCTTCGGTGCACACGGGGGCCACACCTGCCTGCGTCAGTACCGCCTCATAAATGATTCCTGTGTAGTAGTCCAGACCCCGGGCCAGACTGAGGTCGAACACCACCTGGAGGCGACAGGAGGGGGGAAAAGTGGAGGAAAGGTAGAAGAGAAAGATGGTGGAGAAGAAAGATGAAATCACACAAAGAGGGACTTGAGCAGGAGGTCATTTGTAAAATGAATAAAAAATATGATCCCGCATGATAAAAAGAAGTTTCTGGCTGCCTGAAAACTTCTCGTCTCACCTTGTCTGTGACCTGGAAGAGCTGCAGGTAGCTGAAGAGCAGCTTTATGTCAGACAGGCCGGCACAGGCCTGCTTACTCTGAGACATTTTGGGGTCCTGAAGGAGGCGCTCTGCGAGGTCCATTCCTCCTAAAGGATAAACACACTTCCTGTTTACACATGCAGCACACACACAGAGTGTAATATTCAAGCTGATAAACACTCCTGACATGTTCAGGGCGTTTCTTCAGGGCTGCTCTTCACACGTGCACTCCTGAAAATTCTTTAATGCCTACATTGCTTATTGACACGTGTTCCCCACAGCGTGAAGCAGAGAGTCTCAGGAGGAAAAACAAAATGTAAAAACAATGGTGAGGAAATCCAAGAAAACAGGCGATGCAAAGTCTGGCGCTGTAATGACATTTTAATGAGTGTCTTAAAGAGTCTACTGGTTAGCAGATAAGATTCATTAGATGATCACACCGGTCATGTGATATAAACATCATCACCTTCAACCTCTCGAGCTGAATGGTTCTGAATATTCTGCTGCGTTCACACTTCAGCTCACTTCATGCTGAAATGTTATTTTGGGGCTGGCAGGAAAAAGTCCCAGTGAAGTCTGGGTGACCCCTCTATGTGCATGCATGAAAACAGACTAACCGTGTCTGTCCGCTGTTTGGCCCTAAATATTAGAAATGTAGCAGTAAACAACATCAGCTCTTTGGCTGCACTAACAAGCTTTAATAAACATGCTGCATTAAAAAAGTATTTAGAGGAGAGATGTATCAGCACTCTTTGTGTGTCAGAGGTGAAGTCCACCACAGAGTGAGAGAGAGGACAAATCAAACTGAAACAGACTATTCGTCTTGAGTAATTAGATAATAGAAGTCACTTCACTTCTTCAGGGGTTCTAGTTAACTGTAGGAAACAGCTTTTTATTTTTTTATTTTAAAGATATTTTTTTGTTTTTTTTGTGCCTTTAATGGAGAGATAGGACAGTGGACAGACCCGGAAATCAGGGAGAGAGAGCAGGGAATGACATGCGGGAAAGGAGCCACAGGCCAGACCCGAACCTGGGCCACCCGGAGGTTGTTAAAGCTGTTTCTTTTTCCCAAGGACACATCTTTAAGAAACTCTCCGATAAATGAAAACTACCTGAGCAGTAGTTTATGGTTCGATACTAAAGTATTTGAGTAACTGATCCATCACTGATCAGCACACAGTTTTCTCCTGCCTGCTGAGAGGACAGAGGCTGGAGATGTCAAGATGTGACACTTCCTGTGTGAATCGGGGGGGGGGGGGGGGGGAGTCTCACCCTGCATACTGACGTACTCCCCGATCTGGTCCGCAGCTTCCTCCGACAGGCCCTTCTCGTTCACCATCTCCTTCTTCACCTCCTCCCAGGGCAACTACATTTAGAAGAGAGAAAATGACTTCATATAACCATGACGGTCAGTCTCAGGGCCCAGCTGTTACACTGGATCAGAATTATCAGATTTGGAAAATTCACTTTTTTCTATCACGGATGAGGTGATCCATCAGACTTTCATCCTGACGTTCACAGGTATCAACCTGATCCAGACTATTAGAAGCCCCATCCAGACTGCTGTTTACGTCCCTGTGATGTTTCACCTTCAACATGAGGTCATGGAGGTGTAATGAGGGGACAAAGTGAGCCCCCCTCTGTAGAGGTTGTTACAGAGGCGTTACAGGGATCAGCTGATCCAGCAGGGGAGCGTAGCGCTGTGTGTGTGTTCACGTCTGAATGTGTACGTATGTGGAGCTCATGCTGTGCCATCCCCTCTCGTGCTTCCACAACGCAGTGAGGTAACATGAATTCACAGACTGGGACCCCAGTATTACACTGCTGATGAGTCTATATGAATGTCTGACGGCCTGATGACGGTGGAGCTTTGTTACGGCGCTGTAGCTGGATTCTCTAAGGGCTCTAAAACAGGGCTTCATACTACAGACTTTGGCACCCCCTGGTGACACAAACAAACTATCACAGCCTCACGTTTCCTTTGAGCTCATACTGTATGTTTGATACTGAAGCTATTAGGTGGATTACGTTTTCTTTTTTAAACACCCCTAATTCTACTTTTTCTACCGTCACTGACGCTACAAAGCATTCCAGTGCAAAATCTAAAAAAACATCTGAAGCATCAACATTGGTGTGAACGTTTTCTTGAAGATTTTGTGCCTGTAATCCGGCGTGAATCCGCCCTCTGCTGGGATCAGGATCATCCAGATGTGTTTGACCAAAGTATAAACAACACAGACGGGGGGTTAGATCTGGATAAAAACAGGTTTGGATTAACTGATCTTATCGGACTTTGTAACCTTTTTTTTTCTTTGCAATGACCTGTTTTTTAAAGGTCCGATAGTTTAAATGTGCTCAGATGACTTCTGAACATCTGGACTGTGGTGTTCATAGCAGTAGTTGAACCACATCGACCATCAATGAGAACTTTCTGAGTTAGGGTCGGTTCCATTTGCAGAATGAAATCTGTTTGCACAGCAGGACGCGTCCGTACCTTGTCCAGTTTATCCACTGTCGAACAGATTGTGCGGAACTTGTCGTCTGGAACGCCACACACGGCAAACATCCCGTCCAGGATGCGTCTGTCGTTGACCTGGAAACAAAGAACATAGTCAAAGCATCAACTCCTACTGATCAAAGTCTGACCACACTTCCTGTTCAGTTGAGAGCTCAGGAACGGTGACGAGGATTTTAATGCTTTTCACACCAAACTCGAGCAAAGATGAGATGAGACTTGGATCTCAGGTGAATGAACGTGACAAACCTTGATACGGAAGTCTCCGAGGTCCAGCTCACTGAGGATTTCATAGACGATCTTCAGACACTCAGCATCAGGAATCATGGCGTCGTACTGCCCCGCTATGTCAAAATCCTGAAACACACCCCAAACAATAATTACACTTCTAGTGCAGACAAATCAGGTCAGTTTCCAAAAGGTGTAACAAGTCAACCAGCAGGAGTGACAACAAGACGACTCACACATTGGTAAAACTCTCTGTAGCGTCCGCGGGTCATGGCTGGGTTATCACGGCGGTAGACCTTGGCGATGTGGTACCGTTTGATGTTGGTTATCTTGTTCATCGCCAGGTAGCGGGCGAAGGGCACCTGAAGGAGGTCTGGTCAAGGACAACACACTTCTCTTTGCTCTCGACTAACGAATGGAGTTACAACTTCCATCCATCCAATCTGTGTTCCCCACAGAATGACAGGGTCTTGGTCTTTTCTCATACTCGATCCCTGAATGTCTTTTTCTATTTCTATTATATTATCCAGAAATGTCCAGGTGTGAAAACAGCTTTAGAGATTGAAGGATACAGTGAGGTCATATCTGAGCGACAGCAGCTCGCCGCCTTGATCTTTGAGGTCGTAGATGAGCTTTGAATCTTCTCCGTACTTCCCCGTCAACGTTTCCTACAAACAACAACAACAATTTGTTTGAACGTGAGATGATTTTAAAGTTGAAACTTAAGTGAAGTTAGTGTGAAAATCCACCTTCAGTTCAAAAACAGGCGTGTCGATGGTCTCGGCTCCGTGGCGTTTAAAGCAGCTGATGATGGTGTTGAAGACTTTCTCTCGGATGGCCATCTGTTTGGGGTTGTAGTCCCTCGTTCCCTGTAGACAAAAACATTTACAGTGTTTCACTCCCAATATCTTAGCTTTCACCCATTAGTGCGGTTTCTCCTTATTTGTCTCCTCCACCTCTTCTTTTCTGTGGTGACCGAGCGGTGTGAAAATGGTCTTCTCGTATCATAACAACGGACTACCGCCACCGCCACCGCCACCTGGCATGGAGAGTTGTTTCCTCTCACGCATGCACAGAACTGTTCGGCTGTAGTCTTTGCGGTGGCCGGTCGGTTAATCCATTTTTAATCGATTAAATTCTTAACAGTGATTAATCATTAACATCCCTAATGTGAACAGTAAACGTGTGTTTGAAAACAGCAGCACTTCGGTCTTACCTTTGCTGTCTTGAGGACAAACTGATGTTTGACTTCATCTCCTCCTATCTTAGCCTTCAACTCCAGCAGTTTGGCAACTTCTTCATCGATCTGAAACACACACACAATAAGAGGTTTGTGAACATTAACTGACAAGTGTCATTTCATTGGTTAACATCAGTTAGAAAAACAGAAAAAAACTATGAAAGAAATATTGCCTCACAGTCTTACACACGGCACCACAGGCCTACCTGAGCCACAGTGATCCCAGGAGATGTGCACAGAGCGCGAGCACGTGTTGCAGTCCGACAGCCCACCACAGCAAGAGTACGAACACAAAACATGCCCAGTGAGTTCATCCCACGGCAGCGGGGATTCAAAAACATTAAGGTAAAAAATGTACGTCCAAAAATTGGACAAACAGAAGTTCAGGAGCGCATCATGGGTAAAAGCAGCCCGGCCACAAAAGCCAATCACAACGGTCCGAGGAAGGTCAGCGAGGGAGTGAGTGCAGCAGTGAGGTCCAGGAGGAGGTAGATGATGGTGATGATGAAGGGCGAGGCAGGCCGGGGGCGTCCAGGGTCGGGCAGGAAGAACAGGAGAAAAGTGGTAAGCAACCCTATCACTAGGGGAGGGCGTGGCATGATGCATCATCATCATCATCATCAGCGTGGAGGACAGAACACGAGATGTAGCAAGTCAATCAAAGCAGCGAGCCAAACACAGCCCGCCCCCCGCACACACACACACACACTTTGGTTTTAGCACGGTTCATTTGAGAACACTGCAGCCTTTAACGAAACCACAAATAAATATACAATGACACATCGAGGCAGACTGGCGACAGATCACCTGCTCTGAAGTGAAACGACCAGACAGAATGAAGCTTCTCTAAAATATTGGGTTGTTCTGATACCAGTGTCAGGAAAGTTTGACGTTCACTCTGGACAGGAAGACTGACATTACAGTGACACAGTTTATCTCTGAGATGTTGGGGATGTAACGATTCACTCAACTCAAAATGAGACTACACAGTCTCTTTACCATCCGAGGGTAAACAAATAAACATACTGAATATAGTGAATCAGAGGGGATTTAGAAGTCGGTATACCCTGTGGAGACTGAAACAATAAGTGGGGATACTCCGTGTACCTGCACTACACCTCTGAGTCTTTATAAACTGTGTTTGGTAGATTTCTCTTCACACCTGTCAGATGTTGCATCAGCTGTTCTTCCTCGTTGTGGATGAATAAGATAAAATTGATCAATTAATGTATTAAAGTGTTTCATGACAGGCTTGTGTTAAACGTTGTTTCTCTACTTAAATTTGCTTTTAAATCGGTTCAGTAAGATGGTGTCTAAAGACTGTTTAGCTCCAGTTAGCGTCGCAGAGGCTAGTTAGCCGCTACGTCTGAAGTAACTGGTTTTAAGCTAGCAGTTAGCTAGCAGTTAGCTAAAATGAAAACACTGTACAGGACAAATCGAAAAACGTTCCTTTCTAACTAATTAATGAATAGTGCCTCTCATTAAATCTGATTAAGTAGCCGACTTGACAGCTTCTCAAATAGCTCGAGGGGCTGACTTTTGCTTCATTTTAAAATCCTATGCCAAACCACGCTCAAATCCAAAGCTATTTAACATTGAATCAGTTATAAATAAACACATACAGGGAGTATAATATTAACAAGGACATCCTGTGTGATCTTGGTTTCTGACAGACAATTCGGCACTTTCACAACACAGCTAATTGTTGAAGTTAAACAATAACAGCTACAGTATTATAACTGCGCATAAAGTGAAACGAGGTTTGGTATGAGACATCTTTTCACTCCTGCAGAATGAATTAACTTAGTCTTTTTTATGGTACCTGGCGAGCTAGGTAATTAAACTAAAGCACATTCATTTGATTAAGTATGTGACGTAATGGCTTCATCACTACTGAGGCTGCTCTTCTGTCATTTCTAGACCAACGCCAAACCCCGCTCAAATACTAAACAATTTCACATAAACTTCAATATCAACGATCACATAAAGGCTCTGTGATTTAAAGAAGGGTGTCTTATAGGTTTGAAGTTCCTTTTGGAAAATTCGGCTTATACTAGCAGGAAAACAATGTTGGAATTAAGGAATAAAAATGACAATTATGTGTTTTGTGGGATGTGGGTTTAGCTCCGGCAGACTGAATGAAGTTCAGCACATGTACAGACTTCACATTAAACTATCTCTGTTTCATCTCCTCACCTGCTCTTTGCTCGCCTTCTCTGACTTCAGCTTCCGAACGACTTCACCTTGAGTTTTAATCGCCTCTTGTATCTGTGCCTTGTCCTCCATGGTGTTATTTTGATTAAATTCACCGGGACGAACACAGCAGCTGTCTGCGAGTTTGCTGTGGTGGTGCAAAACGGAAACGGAAACACGTAAAACCTCTTCTTCTTCTGTTGTCATTCATGCTCTGTGTTTTACCGCCACCTACTGGTTAGTACAGTGAATAGTAAAGTTTGGTGTTTTCATGTATTTATTATGATTTTTAAGATTTTTAAAACATTTGCCGCAAGTAAAATATATTTCGCAGTCCCTGAAAATATGTTTGTTTTTAATGTTTTTGTGTTTAAATAATTTTGCATGTAGTGAAATGTTTTTTGCAAAAATTAAATATTTGCACAGTTGACCTTCAGGGCCACCATATTTCATTGTTTGAAGATGCAAAAAATAATGCAGAGAAAAGGCAAAATATTAGGAATGAACCAAAAAAAAGAAAACAAAGAGAAGTTGTAAGGAGTACACACAAAAGATCTCTTTGAATAATCACCCCAGTTAAAGGCCCTGTATTTACTAGCCCGGTGTCGCTGCACGTTTTGACAAATAAAGGCAGCTTTCAGTTAGAGCCTCAGATGCATTAAATCCCTGTTTCCACCAAGCCGTCCGGTTCAGTTTGTTTTCTGTATGGTATACATTTATTGGCGTTTCCACTGTCAAAAGTTGTGAATGGTACCAAAATAATAACTGATCCATACCGTCCTACTTTTTTTGTACCCTTCTGTTGGGGTGCCAAGCGTACCGATCCACCCCCGCCCCGTGGACAACCTTGGAGATGCAGACTCCCTACAGCCAACATATAAACAATGTGTTCTCAGACTGGCACAGTGAGTGTTGTCTCACATCCTCCTCTCTGAGAATGAGCTTCTACCTTCTGGCAGATGATACAGAGTCCCCCAATGTAAACTGAACCACTTTAAAAACTCTTTTGTTCCCACGTCTATCTAAATTCTGGATAATGTTTGGTAAGGCTGTTTGGGTTGTGTCGTAGCATCATGGTGTTCCTATATGTTTTTATAGTTTCTTACCTTTGTTGTTTTATCTCTAATGCTGTGTTTTTGCAGATCTTGTGTATTATACGTGTGTTGTTTTGTAATGGTATGTTCTTTCCTGTTTATGTGTGGATGTGTTTTTGTACTGTTTTATTTATTGATTCTAGAGGAAGCAGCTGAATGTTTGGCAGCTCTTTGAGTCAAAGACAAATTTCCCTAAAGGGACAATAAAGTGTATTGTATTGTAGACCTTCCTAGGAATCATTGATTTTGTTTATTGTGTCGTGTTCTTCTTCTTTGTTGAATTTATTGGTTGTCTATGTTGCGCCCCTGTGATTTAGTGATGTGTAAGGGTACGGTTAGCTGTAGAAATGCAAGTAAGATCAGGGTTTATCGTACCAAAACTGTACTGAACCAAACCGGACCGCTTGGTGGAAACGAGGCTTTAGTGTCAAATAGTTGGTGGATAAAAAATAAGGTGAAAAAGCAGCAAATAAAAATAAAGTGGAACTACAACATCTGTCCAAGAAAGACAAAATAATGCTCGTATGTGTAAAGGCCTTGAAGGTTTTTTTTCATACTGCTTTACAAAAGCTTCCCAAAGTGATAGCTTTAAATACCATGACCCGTTGTACAGCGCCACTTTCTAAAAAGTGAGGATGTTGTGTAAAATGTGAAATAAATCCCTGATCCCATTATTTACATCAACCCAGAATTTAAACTATAAAACATGATGTGAAACCTGTTTGGATAAAAGAAATAAAAGCTCCTAAGAACACACGATTTGGTCATTTCTCGTTTAAAATTTTCAAAAACGGCAAGTAAACTCCTGCAAACAGTCTACTTAGCATAATTCATTGGCCAATGTATTTATGCATTTTGCAGGGTTCCCTTTCATCAGTTATAAATCACTGAGGGGATTGACTAAAAAGATCTCTTGTAAAACAGAACTTCAGAGACATTTCTTCAAATCCTCCAAAAATATGGACGCATTTTAGAGGCAGTTTATTCTAAACTTAAGGCAGGAAGCACTGAAGATGAATTAAGAGGATAAAACAAGGATTTCTACTTCACCAATGTGTCTCCACTCTTTCCTTATAAACCATTTGTTTTCCCAAAACGAATGTGAGTCTAGCTGCTCCTGGGAAATAAAATCAAACTAAAGCATGTGAGAGTTCAGATAAATACTTTAGTGTAAAATCTCCTGTAGTCTCTTGATTAATAGCATGATAAAGAACAAATACATAATTAGGGCTTTAATGGGGCTCGCAGTGTTTTAAAGATGTAAAATGCCGGAGTAGGGACAGTAAAGGACTTTAAACTCTACACACAGGCAAACATCTTCCTGTTTAAACAGTGACTGAAGTTAGTCTAAAACCAAAGTCCACTTCTGCAGAGTGAATGGAGGATTTCATCAACATGTCTGTGAGTATCAGATAGTTTCTTTATTATTCTGTAAGCAACATTACGAGTGAGGAGAGAAACGACAGCAGTGTGACGAGGTGTGTGAACTTTGATCCTGAGTTTCTTTTATCTGAGTTTCTTTATCTCTGAAAGTGTCCGGACAGATTTAGACACGCCGACGCTTCAATAAGTCAAGTCAAAGAATTGTTTTATTTGAGGGGAGAGTGGTCAAAGCTATCAAACAATATGTGAAAAAGCTGCAGTGTCGTCAGCTGTGTTGTTGTCAGAGCCCTGTTTACATCAGAGCCCGGCTCCAGGCATACATTGTGTCTATGCTTGTCATATGAAATGTGTTATAAATAAACTTGACCTGACTTGTGTATAAAAGCTGTTTTAGTCAAAGACTAGAGAGAAGAAGAAGAACATACTCAGTGATTATTTAAATGTCACGTAAGAGTTTCTAGATCATGGTTTTTCCATGTAAATGTACATGCAATGTGAAGCTAGAGCTAACTAAAGAGGGCTAAATGCTAACACAACAGTGCAGCTCGAGATCAGGGGGTATTCCTTGAAAAAGTCAGTCTGAAACTAACTCCATCTCCTAATTAAACCTCAAGTCGTTCCATGAACACAATCCAGCCTTAATGAATCAGGACTGACTCGAGACAGACTTGCATAGTCTCGCTTTGTGAACGCGCCTGATGTTTACAAGAAACCCAAATGAATGGATGAATGGAGGACGATTAAATGAGTCACGCAGAGGGGAGAGTTAAAGTGCTGTTTGTTTCAACAGCTGAACTAACGCTGCAGATAGAGCTGTGTGAAAAATGTACAGATTGTATTACTAATAAAAGAAGGTAAAACTGCAGATAATAATAATCCAGGGAGATGGCATGGTAGAAAAATACTAAAATATGTTTTAGGTTCATGTGCATTTGACTTAATACTAGACTCTTATGTTATCTGTAACTCAGCTGATTATAATATTTAACAGCTGCAATAGTTCTCACACTCATGGTTTAACAATCATGAACTGATTTCACATCCTCTATCACAGTGGAACATTAAACATGTACAATTACCAATGATAACAACCTCATTACTTAACATTGACTTTAACTTTATTAACACACTTTTCTTAACTGGACACTAAACTTCCCATGAGCCTTTGCTCCACAAACTGTTCGATCTCAGAGCGACTGTCCACTTGGGGTCTCTACAGTATAAAACCTTTACACAGATTAAAATCACACCTGTCTAATATCAGACCTCTGTTACAGCTGCACAGCATCAAGGTACAGCAGTGTGTGAATGGAGGTGAATCTATAAAGAGTCTGTGCATAGCCTACTTTAAGGTAATTGTGGTAATATATTATTATGAAGTATCCAACAAGAGACTGTATATGATATGTTCTTACTTATGTGCGTTTTTGTGTAAAATCAAATGTAAAATTCCACAGTGGTTACAGTGAAATGCCAGTTTTATTGTCACAATATTTATCAAAATAATAAATAAAAGGAGATGCCATTTATACGTGGGGTCCTTGTGGGATGTGAATTATCTATTAGGCTTTTTATAAAATCATGTTCTTTATACCTTTTTAAAATATTTTCTCACGTGTGGTTGCATTAGATGTGTCGCTTTTACAATATAATTAATGTTTTTATTCAAGATAGATTTTGAATGAAGCTGAGAGCTTTATGATCTTTATTATATTATAACATGACACCAGCTACACAAAGTTCGACTGATAGCCTGGTGCGGAACACACTTGTTCACCAGCATCAGTTACCATGGTAACTCAACGAGGATTCATATAAGCTACAGTGATTGAACGAAACTCCCACTTAAATGAGCCAGACTTATGGAAATAATCGAGGATTCAACTTAATCCTGCTTCATGGAATGACCCCAGGACAATTTAGTCCGCCGTTTGCATTTAGTGCTCTTGAAGGGGAGGGGGGTTGGAGGTGTGTCGCTGGAGGAGAACGGAGGATTCAGGTTGGTGGAGGTGTCAACAAACAACAGTTTGTTTAGGTTTCATGCTGGTGCTCAAGGGCGACATCTACTGGATCAAAAAGTCACAGCTGCATAACATGGTGTCAGGTTTGTCTTGAGAAGTTATGCATTGAATATGCCTACTTTCTTCCTTCAGAGTTGATGTGCCTGGTTGAGGGGGCGTTCCATAGACTCAAATGGACAGCGTGCCTCAGCCTCCTCCTCATAAATTCATAACAACTGTTATTTCAAGAGAAGCTACTCTTGATGGGTGCTGACATGTTGAGTCTGTGCAGTAGAGATCAGCTAGAAGAGCCACATTATTGCAGAGTACACACTGCTGCCATCTGGTCACATGTATACTTTGCCAAGGTGCAGGACCCCCCCTTGGTGGGTGTAATGTATTGTTAATTGTGTGTATTTCAGATTCACTGCTGCTGCAAAGCAAATTGCCCCTTGGGGATAGTAAAGTTGACCTTGACCTTATTGACGTCACAGTCATTGATGAAAGAAACACATTGAAGTTCCAGCTAAAAGGTCAAAGGTCCCTCAGGTAGGTTCAGTCCACATCACAACATATCCGTGTGTCATTTTGAAGACGGTTAAGGAACGTTTAATGACTCTTGTGTGAGTGTTCATTTCGTTTCTTTTCAATGTGCCTCTTCTTAACTGATGATCCGGTGCTGCAGGAGCTACATTGGTCGACAGAGCTGTCAATCATAACATTTTATAGCATACAAAATAAATGAAAGAGAAACGCCTCAGAGAATAGAGGAAGTAAACACAAAAACGGTGGGAAAATAAATATCATGAATAAATCAGTTTTGAGAAAAATGTATCTTAAATCTAAATGTACATGCATTTAGGTTTTATAGTTTGACCCAGCTCCTCTCTGGGTACTTCTCATGTCTCTTCAATGGCATCCACGTTTCCTTCACTTGCTTCCCACACTTGCGTCTTAGTCCCGCCCACCAGGGATGTATGAGACACGAGGAAACGAAGCAGAGGAGAGAGGAACGAGGAAATGTGTTTTAAGAGACATTAGACTGTAGCGTCACGTGAAGCGTCATCAGCTGATCGTCGCTCAGCTGTCTGTCAGCTTTAACAGCTGTTTGTGTCCACACAAATACAAACTGTGTTCATTATAATCAAATACACACAGTAACAGTGTTCAGTCTGTGTACTTTACCTGATAAAAAACACATGCACATGAAGAACAACCTGCAGTCTGCTAATAAAAATAACATACAGACCTTTTCTACACACAATCAGTTTTAATATTAAATTATTTATTATTAATTATTTGTCTTTACTGATAATCCAACAGTGAACTCTGTATTTTATAAACACTAAGGATGTCTCAGGATTATTTACATTTTATCATTAGGATAAAAATTTCAGCAAAACAGGATGCATAACATTTTCAAACCGTACGATCATTAATGGTCATGATGAATGTAAAACGTGTTTCTGACTGACGACTCCCCCTCTGTCAGACTTCTCATCATGATTAAATTAAAAAAGGCAAATAGTGTGAGTGTTCATGAAAATAAATATCAGCAGTTTTAATAATGGAGTCGTTCATGATCTTTTGGTTTTAACACTTCAAATTAACTTTTTGTTTAATGCTGAATCAGAAAACAAATCAAATAGCCTATCAAAGTCGGCGGTGAACAGCCTACACTCTCATATTAATTTTAAGGAACTTATTCTTCATATTTCGTTGTTACTCCTCATGTCAGACACTTTTTTAATCCCAGCTCATCACAGACTCTTTACAAACTGACACATGTTAACATTATGTTTAAATGTCCAACGCTCCGTTTAGCATCTTTTTAATGTCTGTCTTTTCTCCGTTATTAAACTCCGCTGATGTTGAGAAGTTTCATTAAAGTCTGATCCGCTGCAGCGTCCAATCAATGAGTGATATTCGAGAAGGAGGCGAGTCTGTCAGTGAAAAGTCTTCCTGGAAGGCTGGTCTCATGTTTCCTCGATCATAGCTCCTCCGAGATATTTCCTCGATCCTCGCTCCTTGGTGCTGAAATAAGCGACTTGAGACGTCCTTCAACATGGCGGCACAGAACGACTTCTGGTTTAAGCACGGATCGAGGAGAGAGGAAATGAAAATAAGAGACATGAGAAGTACCCTCTGTTAACTGAGGAGGCGGGGTTTATGACCTATACTGCAGCCAGTCAGCAGGGGGAGCTCTAAATCTTTTTTGGCCTCACTCCAAGGCGGCTGTTGCTCTCTCCATCTTAATTTATCGTCTATGTGGCGTTCATGTGGACTCCCCAAGCTGGGAATTTACTTTCCAACCATTTATTACAAATGCAAAGTAAGATTTTGACATGCCAGCTGTTTTCATCCACAGGGTCCACTCAGCATGGAGCTGTCTCCCTCTCCCTCAGGTTTAGAAGAAGAGTTTAAAACAGTCTTCACCAGAGAGTCCCTCCTCTTCCTCCATGAGCTGATCTCCATGTTTGACGAGGAGGTGGATCAGGTAGGAGACGTGGAGCATCCCTGTTGTTTCATAGTGTGGCAGACCTGTTTAACTCAGGATAAAAAACGATCTGTTCCACGCTTGTCTTTACTCAGGTCCTGCGGTTACGAGTGTCCAGAAAAGCCCACTTGGACCTTTCCGGTGACCTGCCAAACTTCCTGGAATCAACCTCACATATCAGGAGGGACCCGGCATGGAGGGTGCTGCCCACCCCCCCTAGGCTCCAGAGAAGACATGTGGATGTCGGAGATCTGGCTCCCTGCGATACTCAGCGCTTCATTAAGGCTCTCTTGTCTCCAGCACAGGGCATACAGGTACAACCTCTCATTTACCTGTGACCAGTGATTGGCAGGGGCATGGCCAGAGGCGGGTCCAAGGGTGGCATGGGTCCTCTCTGGTGCAATCCCTCAAATCAAATCAAAAAATGTATTTGTGATGTATCAGCCTGAATCTAAAGTGAGTAATTAAAGCAGCAGGAAATGATCAGAGCATCTGTTTACAACATGAGACTGGCTTACAAACTAAAATCAAGTTCCAACCACACTCTGTTCAACCTTTGGAATGAAACAAACACGTGTGGAGACAGAAGGAGGCTCTGAAAGTCACACAGTAAGCCTTCAAAAAATAAATATCTGCTTTGTTTGTTTGTGCAGGTTGACTTTGACGATGGAAACTGTCCGACATACTTCAATCAGATCAAAGGCATACATAATGTTTTAAAGGCAGTTCACAACCACTTCCCCAGTACGTACCAACATCAAATTCATACTGGTGATGTGAAACATCTTCATCGCTGTGTCACTCTCATACTCTCATATTTGATTACAGATGTTCCACACATATCTAAGGCTCCAGTGCTGATGCTCCGCCCCCGCGCCTGGAACATGGTGGAGCACAACATGATGGTAGTTTGGCACTTATTTTGTTTGGTAAATGTGTTCTGAACCATCAGCGGCATCTCCAGGATTTCTGGGCCCAATGAAAAGATCTCACATTGGGCCCCTCCACCACACCCAGTAAAGCCTCCACCACAGCCCCAGTAAAGTCTGCATTATAGCTATGAAGTTTAAACACTCCTCCATTACATAAATGTCCCACATTTACATTCACCGGCAACATGGTACTAAAAGGTTACCTCGTTTTTAAGTAATTAGGACAATGTGCAGGAGTTCGCCTGTAATATTTATTAAAAACAGGAAGTGATCCGATCTCGGTGTCCCAGGACTTCTATTTTTGTTGCCGTGATTTCGATATGGTTACTTTCCGTGCCTATATTTTATCTCATGCTGTGGGATTCAAATAAAATGTCCGACTTGCCACTGGTCCTTAAATACTCACCAGTGGCAATTCTAGAGTCCGTTGGGGCCCAATCCGTTGGGGGGCCCTCCAACCAGCTTTCAGCAGGGCAACAAAAGTGGATGCTGTCAGATGGGGTCCTCTTAGGGAGGATTCCTACTGTCATTGCAAAATTTGCAAATATTGAAGTAACAAATAGACAACATAATTCAATGTTCTGATTAGATTTCAGGGGCACATGTGGCAGCAGTGCTATACACTTGGCTCTGGACGTATTTAAGAAGTTTTAGTCAAACGGGGTCCCACGGGAGGGAGAGGGGGGTGGCAAGTTTTCCTACATGTGTGTGTTTAATAAACAGTCCATACATGAAGCATAGACTGACTGTTTTTTTTTCTGGCTGTTTGTCAGGTGGAGGGAAAAGAGGCTCCAGGTCCCCTCTTTGACTTTGGACTCCTCATGTTTCACTGTGGAAAGACGCTGTTTGAAAACAAGAGTGGACCTTTTTTCTACCTCTCCAAGGTAACACACAGTCACTCGTGCACTCAGACGATATGTGTTTTATGAATGAAGTCAACAGAAACTCTCTCATCTTGTTCCAGGTGGAGAGCTTCATGGAGGCTCGATTGTGGAACAAGATTTTTGTCTGGACACAAGAGAAGGTTTGCATAAAGAAGTGAATATTTCATTTAACTCTTCCATTGAGAATATAGAATATAAATCTGTGGATCCAAAGTGAACTTTCCCTGTTTGTTTGTTTTTTATGTTCATTTGGGGGTGTTTATGCCTTTATTGTAGACAGGACAGTGGACAGAGTCAGAAATTGGGGGAGAGGGAGACTGGGGTACGACATGCGGGAAAGGAGCCACAGACCGGATTTGAATGCAGGTTTCCTGCTCACAGGACCACAGACTCTGCACCAGGAGCCCGCGCACTAAACACTAGGCTACCGTCAATGCTGACTTTTGTTTAAATGGTAAATGGTAAATGGACTTGAGCTTATATAGCGCTTTTCTAGTCTCCCGACTACTCAAAGCGCTTTTACACCACATGTCACACCCACCCATTCACACACTGATGGTAGTGATGATCGCTATGTAGTAACATCCATCAGAAGTAACTAATCCATTCATACACCACCACTGAAGCAGGGTTAAGTGTCTTGCCCAAGGACACAATGGACATGTTGCTCAGCTAGGGATCAAACCCTCAACCTTCCGGTTGAGAGGCGACGACTCTACCAACTGAGCTCTACCAACTGAGCCACAGCAGCCCCACAACAACATAAATATCACAACAACAGCCATTTTCAGGCAACAGAAAAGAGCCATCGACAAAGCTCAGAAGAATGCAAAAAGAGGAGGTGCTCTAGGAACTATGCAGCGCCAGACCCGCCCGGCCTGTTCGATGGCCACGTCTGGCCCATGTATTTGAAACACAAGAGCAGAGAAAGCAGAGATCGTAGCGGTCGCATGCAGATAGTCTATGCATTGTGCAACAGTCACAGTATAGAAACATCACTCCCCTTCCTATTGGCTCTAGCTGAAGTCTCCGGAGAATATCTTGCTGCACTCTAATATCAGCCAACTCGGACGTGCTGCAAAAAAATACTAGGGGTCTGTCAGAAGAAACTCTGGGTGAATGATTTGGACATTTGCTTTCTGACATGTAGGTTCTTGTGGAAACGTTAAGGAGTGTAAAGCATGTATAAATGTATAAATGAGTTTGTGTGTCTGTGATTGTCTGTCTAGCTGGGCCTGCCTCTGGGCTGCATCAAGGCGACGGTGCTGATTGAAAATGTTTTAGCAGCATTTGAGATGGAGGAGATCCTCTACGAGCTGCGAGATCACTCAGCTGGACTCAACTGTGGCATCTGGGATTATTCAGCCTCTTTCGTCAACAAGTTTGGTGAGACAATATCTGGCCTTTAGCTGGTGTCGACATGCCAAAAACTCTTAATCATTTTCCACTAAGCCAATGTGCGTAATTACAGCCTGAGGTCCAGAACTAAATCTACCCCGGGATCTAATCTCACTGAAGTCAAGTTTCCTGTTTCTCCTCCAGGTCACCGTCAGAACTTCCTGCTGCCCGACCGCAGCAAATACGTCAACATGGAGAAACGTTTCCTACGCAGCTACATGGACCTGTTGGTTCAGACGTGTCATCGGAGGGGAGCGCTCGCAACAGGAGGGATGGCCGCTCTGCTGCTGCCTCAAGATCCACTCAGCGACTCCCACCAGAGAGCGTTGGCTTCTGTCACCAGGTAGAAAACATCCCTGCTTAGGATGCTCTCCACAACTGTGAGTGTCTGCTTCAAACTGACACAAGAATCTGTTTTGCTGTGGACTGAACCCACCTGAAGTTTTATCAGGAAGTTAAATGTGTGATTTGTTTAGAAGAATGGCCGCTCCTCAAGCCAGCTCCCTTCTGAACATGTCTTGGCTCCAAAACACATCAACAGCGCAATATGTCAGGCCCCCATTGCATGGGAGGAGATGGAGCATCGTCCATATTTATTTAGTCAATTGTTAACATGAAGGAGGTTTAACTTTAAGACCATTATTGTATCCAGCCAATAGGGGGAGTGTTGGCTCCACTTTTGTGAACCTGTCTTGTCCTCTATACAGTATATGGTAATGTCCCATTTAAAGGGCCGCAGCATTCCAAGGGTGCATTTGAAAATGAGGCCTGCTAATTTCAAAAGGGGCCTTAAAACTTAAATCATCTTTCAAATGATAGGTAAAGTCAAGTGATGTAAGTTATGTAAGCTGGATCCAGTGCAGCTGTTGAGGTTGCTATAGGCGTCCGGGATAGCGCTTAGAAGCGAAAAGGAAAGGATGGGGACAGGTGAGGACGCAATGAGGAAATCCTCTGAAGACCAGAACGTTTCATTTCAGCCTGCGAGGGCTGGTCTTCGTAAGCTGGGTCCTTCAAAACATACCTGTTGTCTTCCCTCCTTTTAGACTGAAGTTGCTGGAGATCGAAGCAGGTGTGGACGGCTTCATGGTGTACGACCTGGGTTTGATTGAGCCCATGCAGAAAGTAAGCACTGGATCATGAGCCTTTCAAAGCTTTTTTAAAAATAAAAACAGAGAAGCTAATGAGCTCTCCTTCATCTCCTCCAGCTCTTCCAGCTTCACACTGAAGGGGATAACCAGCTTCACCAGCTCCGAGATGATGTCACTGTAACTCCTGATGACCTGCTGTCCATGCCCTCGGTCAGTCTTTAACGCATTTCAAAATGTAACTGCTGAAGATTCCCTGTAAAGCTGCAACATTTCACAACTGAACTGTTAAAAATGTTTACCGCGGGCTGGGATGTAAACTGGAAGTGGGAAGAACTGACTTAAATAACACCTTCGACACCGAAAATGAAAGTTGATTTTGTTGTCTTGTCATTAGGGAGGAGTCACCCTCTATGGACTGAAGTATAACATTGCAGTTGGTGTCCTCTTTATTAATGCGTGGCTCTCAGGTGTGTACATTTAAACATTCAGACTGAAGTAAGGCGGGGCAGGAACAACAGAACTGTTAAAACTTGGCTCTGTTTTTTAGGTCTTGGACACTTCTTCTACAGAGGCCAGGTGGAAGATTCAGCAACAGCAGAGATCTCCAGATCACAGGTGGGTTTAGTGCTAAATAATCTGACTTCAGTGCCCACCAAGTGAACCAAGCAGAGCTTGATTAAAGGTCACACATTATCCTCCTCTTCAACCAGTTTAAATAAGTCTCAGAGCTCCTCAAAACATGTGTGTGAAGTTTCTTGTTCTGAATCCACTCTGATCGTGTTTTTGATCATGTCTATAAACCCCTCTATTTCAGCCCTGCTCAGAACAGGCTGTTTCTGTGTCTGTACCTTTAAATATGTAAATGAGCTGTGTTTGACCACGCCCCCTCTCTGGAAGGGCTTGGGTGTCTCGGTCTTTCTCGCTCCATGTCCTATTGTTTACGGTGAGAAGGCAGACTCAGAGGGCAGAACAAACACCTAGCTGTGGGAGTGTCACCCACCTGGGGGAGGGGTTACTGCCCGGTCAGACTGGTAGCTGGCCAAAATGGCATTATAAGTAAATGTGAGGAAGGAATAGCCATCCCTTCAGACAATTAATGACAGGACAGTTGTCTGACTAGCACATTAATTCATAAGTGACACCCTCAACCAGTTTCCTGAAAACAAAGCGATGGACAACATAGAGACTGTAAAATGAACCAGTTTAAGCTTTCTTTATTTCATTACCTGTTGAAGAAACAACCAGCTCAATATGAACCCTACTGAACGAGCTCCATGTAGATGAACTTGGAGGTAAAGAAGAACATAAAAAAGTCTTGTAGTTTCATAAAATAAAAGTAGGACTTGAATGAAGAGGTTGCAGCAGTTGGAGTCTGTCAGCTCCAGAGCAGCAGGCTGAAGTAACCATCCAGAGGAACCTTCGAGACGAGACGGCTTAAAAAAAACGAGATAAAAATGTGTGTGCGTTCTTTGTGTGTGTCAGGTGTGGCAGTGGATCCGTCATCAGACGAGGCTGGAGGACGACAGCAGGGTGGTGAGCCGGCGGCTGGTTACTGCTCTAACCCATGAGGTTCTGATGGAGCTCAGCGTCAGGTGTGCAGACACTCCCTATCATGCTGATAGCCAATCAGGTTACTGCTATCCTTGTAGGAATATGTAAGGGAGGACATTATCTAAATTAGGGACCATATTTAAAGAGGACTATTATCCCCCTTTTCCACCTTTTCAAACAGTCCCCTGTGGTCTAAATGAAACATCTGTACTGAGCTTTGGTCAAAATATAACATAAAACCGGGGGTTAGTGCACGCGCCCCATGTATGGAGGCCGTACTCCGCCCAGCTTCAAATTCAGCCTGTGGCTCCTTTCCCACATGTCATCCTTACTCTCTCTCTCCCTGATTTCCGACTCTATCCATTGTCCTATCTCTCAAATAAAGGCACAAAAATCCAAAAAATAAATCTTAAAAACAAAATAATAATAACATGAATCAAGCACCAGAGGAGCTTTGTGACCCTGTATAAACCAGCTCTCTCAGAACTCGCCGTTTTGGTGTGTGTGTCTCTCTAAATGCAATGAGCCCCCCTGAGTTTTCCCCGTAGACATCACTCCTCTGTAGCAAGAATAAAAATGGCAGACCAGCGCAAAAGTTTTGCTCTAGGCTGGGGGTGGAGTCCATGAGTTGAGATACCAGGGGAGGGGAGGGCTTTTTTTTTTTACCAGAATACCATTGTGATGTCACAAGGAGAGCATATTTTAAACGGAGCATTTTTCTCTGTGTTGTAAGACTTATGCAGACCACAAACAAAGGACTGGATGGGTTTATTTCACATTTTGTGGGTCAGTAGACACTCAGGATACCCAAATAAATGTTCAAAAACACTGTAGAAGTGGATTTGTCATAATATGTCCCCTTTAATAAGCTAGCTACTTCCACGTCGCTTGCTGGTTTGTATGACCTACAGGCTGTTTTAAAGTCATACGCTGTTTTGAAAAACCTATAAATATAATGAGTCAAGACAAACTGTTGTCATCTCAATGGTTTCCGAAACAGCAGCTATTGAAAAGACCATCTCAGAACTCACCGGCTATCGTCTGCGAAAGCTATAAGCCTCTTGTAACATTATTCCAATGTAGTCAGTGGTTAACATTAAACGACTTCCTTTTCTGTGTGCTGCATTGTTTAAAGTTCAATTAGCAGTTTGAGTTGTTCAGATCAAAAGCAAAGTGAAATGTATCACAGCAGATATGTCTGCAAAGTAAACGCTGTCATTTCTTTGTTCATTAATCTGTTTCTGGTGAGTCTCACTTTAACTTAAATAGTAAGTAACACAGAGGCTTCTCTCTGGATTTCTTCAGCAGTATGAACCTGAAAAACAAACAGATTTTCTTGTGATTTACTTTCCATTATCTGGTCTTAAATTTGCAGAATTAACAACATCATTCATGACGCAGATTTTTAAAGAGCAAAAGTTTTTTCAGAGCTTTGTCAGGTCTGTCCTCAAGAGGACCAGGGAGGTCTCAATCGATAGTTTGTGATGCATTCCAGGAAGTTGGAAAATCTGAAAAGCCTTCACAACACAGCACAGTTTTTGAAATCCGTGTAGCATTAATGAAAGAGATGATTCTTCTTCGGGTGTTCAGCTCTTTTCTCTCTCTCTCTCTCTGTCAGTTTCTTCAGGGCTAAACAGAGGCTAAACACAGCGGCAGACATATTCCTGGAGGTGGTCCTAAAGAGAGATTTCCCAGAATTCATCACCTCCTACTTGAATCAGGACCACACCTTTCTCAGCTCCCAGGACTTCAGACAAGTGGAGGCTCTGGAGGCAGACATTCCCCGACACAAACTGTGAAGAGTCTCAGATGGAAGATCTCCACATGTTCTTACAGAGAGTGTATTACTGCCACCACAATAAAAGAAATATTAATGTTTAAGTTTGCTTTTTTTAAATGTGAACATTTTACTGATCTCTTTGACATTAGACACCTGGCCAAAACTATTTCAACAATAAACAATCAAACTTTAATTCACTGGGATTTTCTTGAACACATCGGCGGACCCCGTCTTTGCTCCCAGTTTGCTGTGTCTAAAAAAACACAGGTACACAAGTACAAACATATCCAAAGTACATAAAACATTGCACACTGAGAGACACTGAGAGAGAACAAACACAAAATAAACGACAACAAAACCAGAACCAAACAGAATCATCACAAATGTGTACCCTTGTTTAGGGGTAGAATGAGTGTACCTTTGAGGGTACTGTTGGACCCTTAAAGGTACATACACATTTAGCACATTATTTCTGACAGTGGCAGGTACAGGACTAGCATGCACCTGGTTGGGATCTATACTTGTTTTTACCAGCAGTAAGAGAGGCAGCGGGAGCCATGATTCTCTTTGTTCTTATGTTTACTTTTATTTTTTTAAATAAAAGATATGTAGGTGATGTCCGTGGTGTTGTTATCACTGCCTGTCTTGTTTTTGCTGTCTTTGCGACGACGTCCCTTCTGTTGATTTTACATAACATGTTCTGTAAAAAAAAGGCACAACTTGTACAACCTGAGAGGAGCTGTTTGTGTTCCTCTGGTTGTTGAATTATTAACAGAGAAACAGGATTGGGGATCCTGTCACTACTGACCCTTTATTTATGTAACACCTTTCAAGATTTAGTTTGGCTTAAACTCCAGATCAGATTAAAGAGGGCGCCAAAGAGGACTGCAATCACCTGTGTCCTGCATTGTTGTGTTAGCATGCTAATGTTAGCGCTTTTTAGTTAGCTCGTAGCTTCACATTGCATATACATTGACACAGAATGACTGTGATCTAAAAACACTTAGTGACACTCTGGTCCTTAACTAAAACAGCTTTTATACACAAGGGGAGGAGCCGGCCGTCCCGTCCATGTAAACACAGCTCTGACAACAACACAGCCAGCAGGACTCGAGCTTCTCACTCATTGTAGACAGTCATGACTCAGAGACACATTTACACAGGACAGACTGGATCTCTGATTTATTTATGTGTAAAATATTGCACATTCTTCCTTTAATGTCCTGTCATCAGAATCAGCTATATTGGCTAGGTATGCTCACACTCGAGGAATTCAACTGTGCTCTCTATGTAAAAAAGTATAACATTAAAATATCAAAAATTAACACAAAATTAAGCCTTTATGTAAAGACTAAACAAGACAATAGTGTAATAGTGAGAAGTGCACAATGCTGAAATAAGCACGATACTATGTAATTATGTAACAGATGGGATGTAGGGACTTGAGTCGAGAACCACAGGATTCAAGTGTTGTGTTGTGTTTAGCATTTCGATTTGCACATTTTTTTTGTTGTCTACTGTGAACTACTGGCACTCTGATCCTTTGTACGTGTTTTGACTCAACTTTTGTAGACACAGTTCAACTGCCTGGGACTTTCAGTTTAGCCTTTCTTCACAACAAACTGTGTTTGCAATCAGGACAGCCATTTATTTATTAGCTATTTGACTTCTGTCCCCTGTTATTGAAGAACACCTGATTCCTCAACATTTCTTTTGACCCAGTGCAGCACTTATTTCAACCTTTTTTCTTTTAAAAAATAATGTTATTTGAATTAAATAAGAGATGACAAACTGATGCTCCTCTCCTAAATCCTCCCTTTTTAAACATTGAAGGATTGGCCACGCAAATTTTATGGATTTACAAGACTCGTTTTTAGGGATAAGTCTCTTCAAAAAGAAAAAAAATAACTTTATAAAACTAAAGTGACGTAACGATGTTAGGCACAAAAGACCATACAAAGAATACGATGAGAAATACAACAAAAGTGTGATATAATAATCAAGTTATGGCAGAAAATAAATGCATTGACAGATGTATAAATAAGTTAGGGGTGAAAGGTGAAATTCTCTTTCCGAACACAGCACGTGCTGGGCGTGCTTTTGACGTCAGAGTCGTCATTGCTGTCGAAGAAGCGCACTGACCGCTGATTGGCCTGTTTATGGAAAGAAACGCCCATTTCTCTCCGCACCCTGCCTCAACTGTCTGTGTGGGCTAAACCATTCTTGACATGAGGGGGGTCATAATTATAGCGTCTTTAATTAATGCACTTTGATCTATTTGTACGAAAATCAAACAGAGGCAAACTGAAAAACACTGACGTTGTATTCGACGATTTTATAGACTTCTGTCATTTGTTCGTGGTTTGGTGACCTCGGTTAAGCTTTTGGATTAGTCCATTATCATTCCGCCCCTCAGTAACCGGTGTTCCGTGACAGACTAGAAAAATGATGTAACTTTTGCCGGCTTTCAGTGACAGTTACCTTCACATAGCGTACAAAGAGAAACGGCAGTCTGTCCGTCAGAACTTTCTCTACCGCTCGGTTCAGTCAATGGCTCGGTGTCGTTAGTGTCGGTGAAAGCGCTAATTTACAGCCGTTTCTCCGTTTATTTTCAGTACAGGAAAAGCATGAATCCGGCTCGGTGCTGCTCGGTGTTTTTCGGCCAGCTGCGTGTGTCGTCACGAGGTGGACAGGTAGCGAGGAGACCGTTTCCCCCGGGAGGAGTGTCATCCCCGGCGGGGACACGGTGCTGTCACCCCGGTGTAGCAGCAGGAGGAGGAGGAGGAGGAGGTGGGGGAGTCAATGGGACCAGTCCACAGATGAAGCCGAGCGGGGTATCCAACACTGCGACAACACCAGGTAGGCCTACTGTACACCTTAACCATTTATTCAGAGTTGTACTTCTTCATCATCATACGTGACTCATGCTAACGTTCACCACAAAGTTCAGCCTATTCAGAAAGAGACACTTTTATAATCCTTCACACACTCCTCATCAAAGTTTTGGGGATAATAAATATAAAGTACCAAAAAGAAGAGCCTAGACCTACTCTCCATTGTCTGAAAAGATTACCTACATATTCTGTCTTTTACTACCATCATTTTTCACCTCACCTCTCAAACTGTCTTAAGTACAGAAGAGGATTAGGGCCAAAACATGAGAAATAACTAATGAGAAGAGGGAAACTTTATTTATGGTCTTCAAGGATGAAGTCGAAATGTCGACAATGAAATGATTCTACATCTCCACTTTATTCTCCATATCTCCACTTTATTCTACATCTCCACTTTATTCTACATCTCCACTTTATTCTCTATGTCTCCACTTTATTCTACATCTCTACTTTATTCTCTATATCTCCACTTTATTCTACATCTCCACTTTATTCTCCACATCTCCACTTTATTCTACATCTCTACTTTATTCTCTACATCTCCACATCTCCACTTTATTCTCTACATCTCCACTTTATTCTACATCGCCACTTTATTCTCCACATCTCCACTTTATTCTCTATATCTCCACTTTATTCTACATCTCCACTTTATTCTCTATGTCTCCACTTTATTCTCCACATCTCCACTTTATTCTACATCTCCACTTTATTCTCTATGTCTCCACTTTATTCTCCACACCTCCACTTTATTCTACATCTCCACTTTAACATTTCTTGCCAAAATGCACTTTCCTCAGTTTTCAAAAATACCTGCAGTGTGGACTAGGCCTTTTTTGCCCGTAGGTGTGAATGTGAGTGTGGCTGGTTGTCTGTCTCTTCATGTCAGCACTGTGATTGGCTGACGATCAGTCCATGGTGAAACCAAGCGGCCACCTGAAAAATGAAGCCAATGCAGAGGTGCACAATCCTGCAGTTCATCGAGTGTCCGCTTGAGGCTGTCATTGTCCCGACCCCTCTTCAATAAATAAACAAACAAAAACAGAACCAACAAAAAAAAGATCACGTCTTCACAACATGACCATGTGTCAGAAATGAATCACATTCTGGATTAAGTTTAAATTTACTGTTATGTAACTAGTATACTAGCTATAGATAGACTATTTATAGTGCAAAAACACGACAACTCTCCAGTCCACATGTTTATTAAAGTATTCCAATGTATGCATTCTTCTTTGTGTGAACATGTGTCTAATGAACACTTAAAATATTTATAAAACGTTTGGATAAATTATAAAGTTTTGCAGAAAAGACAGAAAAAATAAATGTTCGGTGCTCAAAATTTTATGTGGGAGACCCCCAGACCCCCCTCACCGGTTGATGACAACTATTAAACAGCAAATTATTTACTATTTTGTTTAGGTGTGGTTATAGAGAAGTGAATCTGTGCAGTGTAGTCGTTGCGCCCCTCATCTTTTGGGGTTACACCTAAAACAATGGGTGAAACCCGCCTCTCGCCCAATGACAACTGACCGGCTCCAGCCCACTGTGACCCTGCACGGGAAAAGCAGTGAAGGTACTGGATGGATGGATGGACAGTACTTCTTTGTAATGAGAAGGAAAATGAAACTTATTTTCCAGCAGGTGTCTGAAATAATTATAACCTTGTCAAAGTGATCTTTACACAAAGGCCTCTTAATTACTTTTGACGGTGGCAGGCGTTTTTTCTTGAGTTGATGATGTTCTGATCAGTTGTCACAGACAAGAAGTCATTATTCAGAGAACTTTCAGGACTTTTATTTCTTCCAAATGATGTCATTATGTGACGATTGACCAAAAATACCTACTCTTAAATCTGAGATTCTCACTTACCACTTAAATTAATGCAACATTAAGAAATAATAACTGTAATGTTATCCTCTTTGTCCCTTCTGACCTATCATCTGATCTGCGTGTCTTGTTTCGATAGCTGTTTCTATGGTTACCACTCTACCTTCATCTCTGTAGTCATGCTAGATGCTTCAGCTCTATTCATTCTCTCTAAGGCGAGGTACGGGATGTCCTCGATGTTCTCACTGGAACCACTGTGTAGTAATCTGTTGCACTTTCCTTCCTGCTCCTGCATGACACTGCACTCCTTATATCACTGCACTAAGCTCATCCTGCTGCTGAGATGTTACCACGCTGGATTTACCTGCTTACTTTAAATAGAAGGAGAGTATATACAGCAGATCAGTGCAGCTTTATTTGAAAACCAGCAGCCTGCATTACAAAGGCATCATCTCCATCAAGTAATCCAATCATTGTGCCAAACACAAATGTTTTCACTGTGACACCTTTTCATTCTTCAGAGTACTTTCACTTTATGAAGGTGAGGTTAGATCGGACAGCGGCTAGCGGCTGTGGCTCAGTTGGTAGAGTTATCGCCTCTCAACCGGAAGGTCGAGGGTTCGATCCCCAGCTGGGCAACATGTCCGATGTGTCCTTGGGCAAGACACTTAACCCCGAATTGCTCTCGCAATATGTATGAATGGCATTAGTTACTTCTGATGGATGATACTACATAGTGATCACTACCATCAGTGTGTGAAAGGGTGTGAATGGGTGGGTGTGACATGTGGTGTAAAAGCACTTTGAGTAGTTGGAAGACTAGAAAAGCGCTAGTCTTCCAACTACTCAAAGCGCTATATAAGCTCAAGTCCATTTAGGCTGTACCTGTCTTTCATTCATGCAATATGAAGCACCCACTCATCCCTTTTTTTTCAGGTAGGCAATCCATCAAAGAAGCATACCAGAGTCTCAAGACATTAGGTTGCTATATCGTTTAAGTCAGGGGTTTACGTTAAGTGAAATCTGCCAATGGCCTGGATAGCCCTTGACAGATTTCACAAATCGTGAGTGAGCCCGACAGATTTATCGGCCAGATAATATCGGCCGATATCAGCTTATCCAAAGACTATCGGCTAATTTTATCTCCGATACACTGATGTTACTACATTTATTCAACATTATATTACACTTACACTCTTTCACCAGCAGAGGGCGCTATATGGATTACAACAAGCATCATCACTCTCCAAAGTGTCCAGCAGTGATGAACGTATATGAACAGTTACTTTACAGTTGAGTGACCATCTTGTCTTTTCCACAAGTGTTTGAAAAATGCATCTGAGGGATCTACACAATAAATGTGTATCTCTACAGATCGACATCTAGGAAAAAGATATCAGCCGATATATTGGTCTGATTTTTTTACTCTCCCCAATATCGAAATTGGCCCCAAAAATCCCACATCGGTCGGGCCCTAGTGCTGACTATGACACTGACAGCTTATAAACGCTTATAAAACATTGATGCTTTAGCAGAAATTAACTCCTCTCTCTTTCGAGCTGCAAAACTCAAAACCATTCGGCCTGGGTTGTTCTGGCAGGCCGTCAACCAAGATGTCATTGTTCTTATGTGAACAATGTGCTAGATGTCAGTCTGATGTCACTAAGGACAGTCAAATCACTAGAAAAAGTCTCTCTGAGGTTCTTAGGGCCTAGCACAATAACTTCAGTCTTGTCTGAGTTAAGTAGCAAAAAAATTCTGGTCACCCAGGTCCTAACGTCCTTAAGGCACGTTTCTAGCTGACATAACTGACTGGTGCCATCGGACTTCATTGATACAGCTGAGTATCATCTGCATAACAATGAAACTGTATGGAGTGTTTCCTCATACTATTTCCCAGAGGAAGCATATATAATGCAAAGAGAATTGGTCCAAGCACTGAACCTTGTGGGACTCCATGGCAAACTTTAGTGTGCATAGAGAACTCATCATTAACATGTACAAACTGAGATCGGTCTGATAAGTAGGATTCAAACCAACTTAAAGCAGTCCCTGTAATTCCAAGCAAATGCTCCAGTCTGTACAACAGGATCCGATGGTCAATGGTGTCAACGGCAGCACTAAGATCTAACAAGACGAGCACAGAGAGAAGTCCCCTGTCTGAAGCTAGAAGTAGATCGTTTGTAACTTTAACTAGTGCAGTCTCAGTGCTATGGTGGACTCTAAATCCTGACTGAAACTCCTCAAATAAACTGTTGTCATGGAGAAAGTCACACAGCTGTTTAGCTACCACCTTCTCCAGGATCTTTGAGAAAAAAGGAAGGTATAGGCCTGTAGTTAGCCAGAGTTTCTGAATCCAGAGTAGGCTTTTTAAGTAGAGGTTTGATTACCGCTACTTTAAATGCCTGGGGTACATAGCCTGCCTGTAAAGACGAATTGATCATAACTAATATAGAGTTGCTAACTAAATTAGCCGCTTTCTAGTTTCAGTGTTTGAGGGTTCAGGAGGTTAAAACTCTTAATCTGACTCCGCACAGATCTCTACTGGCCTCCATCTGTAATGAGATTGTTTAGGCGGTTATGTAACCTTTACAGAAGAGACAGGTCAAGGGAGCATGTAGACTTAAAGTCAGGACTACTTTAGCTTCTGTTCCATTTTAAAGCTTACAATCATCTTACACTATATAGAGTTAGATTTAAGAGCTTTCCAGGTCTGGTAGTTAAAGTAAAAGAAATGGGGAAATATTACCTGTGGTGTCTTTTATTGAATATAGAGTTCATGCATCTCATGTAGAAAACAGACTAAATGTTTCCCACGCTGTAGCCCCTTTCACACATGCAGACAAGTCTCATTTTCTTGAGTTCACACGTTTCTCACAGTGGGAGATTTTCCTGTCTGATGGGAGGGGTCTCAGGTGGCAGGGCATGATGTTAAAGAACGCTGCGGAAGTCACAGTGTAATGTTTACAACATATCCAAGAAGGTGGACGAAGCGACAGAGTCTGACTCTAATAGGGCGTTCACACTTGTGTGCATGTGTGAAAGCAAACAGCCACATTTTTTCGTTCAGACTTCACACAGAGTTTCTCCGGCCAGACCCCTAGTCATTTTTCAGCAGCAAGTCCGAGTGAGCTG